AAGGCACTGCCAGGCATCTGAAATGCATGAAAACAGCCATCGCTTCCCGCTGCAAGCTCTTTTCCAGCTACAGTTTTGTTCCTCCCGTTTCCAGAAAGAAGCCGAGAGAAGGTATTAATCTACTAGGTTTTGTCAAGGGGGAAAACACACTAACAACTCCTTTGGACTGCACCTCCTTTGAAATACGGCTTATCAGAGATTGTTGGAGAGCAAGGGGATTTAAAGAAGCCATAGCAACAACCCTTTGTGAAAAGTAGCTTACCATCGCAACTATTTAGACATGCACCTAAAATAAATTAAAATACACCGTTTCATTCTGCAACTGTGAGGATGCGATACTTTCACTGGATCTGTAAACACATTGCAAGAATATAGCCAAAGCCTTGATTTCCTCAGAAAAAATCCAAAACATTTTGCAAGCTGAACAAGACCATTCCCCATCTCCACACAAACATTCATCCCTTGCCGAATATACTTTTAATTGCATACATCAAACCCCAAAGCTGATAGCCGAAAATAGCATCTCAGTTCCGTGTGCAAAGCCCCCCCCCCCTTTCTTCAATCAGAACAATCACGTATGAAGAAACTGGATTCCCATTTTAGAAAGGGTGGCAGGAGGGAAACTGCTTACGATCGAGAAAAAGATGCAATTGCATGCATCCATTCTAATGTCACCCTGGAGACTTTGGAAGCATCTTGCTCTCCCCACCTCCCAATTTTGTGGCACTTGCTTAATGGTGGAGAGAAAGAAGCCAGACCAGAAGCCAGATATTATTAGAGGTGGGAGGAGAAGGGAAAAAAATAGCAACCAAGATGCTTTGCACCGACACTGCACCAGATCTTTCCCTGTGCTTAATAGTATGGTTGCAAAGGAGATGAGGGGAAAGATATCAAGGAATGGAGTTTTGCAAATAACTGGAAAAAACCCTCATGGAGCAAATAAATCCATCAATCAATCAATCAATCAAAATCTCTCCCTTTGTCCATCAATGTGTAATTTAGATCCTCCATCGAGGTTCGAAATGGCAGGCCTTTCTACATGTTTGTTTGTCTCTCTCAACACCGAGGAATTATAACACACAAGCACCATCTCTCTCTCTCCACTGATCGTTTAAATGTGAGGAGACATATATATGCATATACTGCACCGCTTACAGACTGATGAAAACAGGACAAACGCTAGCTGGATTGTTTTTTTAACCCCCCCCCCCCATTTAAAGGCAGGGGGGGGGGGGGGAAAAAAAAAAACCCCCCCCCCCCCACGCTTGCAGTTCCCCTCCTCCTCCACCCAAACACACTGCAGAAAAATTCCAACAGCAACCCCGCCCCTGCGTGGTCCCCCAAGAAAACACCAGAGAGGCTGAGTTTTCTAAGCGTCATCACTTTTGGAGGGGTGACAGTTCAGGCAAGCTCTCTGCGCGGCTCCGCCGGCCCCCAGCCCCATCCAAAGCCCCCGAGGGCCACTGAATGCCAGCTAAATTCTCTTCTCTTCTATATTTCTTCTTTTCATTTTCCCCTGCCGGGACCTGCCGCCACCAGCCCTCTTCCATTGCATGAGCCGTAAACAGATATGCTCGGCGACCCCAGCGATAAATGACTGTTTCCCGGCCGCTGCGGGGCTTGGTGCCTTTCCTGAGAGAGGAGAGGGCAGTTTCTTTCCCTCAGCAGGAGGTCCTAACACCCCCCGCTTCCCCTCACCCCGCCCGGGCACTCTTTGCAGACCCCCTTCCCCTCTGCAACCGCCACCTCGCCCTTTCAAGCTAGAACCCGAGAGCATTCTTGCAATGCAAGTTGGGGGGGAGCCCACGGGGAGGGGGGGAGCCCCTGCTCCCCACACCAAAGGCGCGCGGGTGGGGTGGGGTGGGGGGGCAAAGCGGGAAGGGGGCGCAGGCTTACTCTCTCCCACCACCGCTTTCAGGCCGGCGGGCGGCATGGTGCTCCGGCGGCGGGGGCGCGGGGCGGCGCGGGTCTCCTCGCCCCCGGCGGCGGCGGCTGCTGCACGGCTCGGGTCCGCGCACACTGCGCCCGGCGCCGCTGCTCAGCTGACTGCGGGCGGGGGGGGGGGGGGGGGGGGGGGGGGCGGCGCGGGCAGGGCGTGGCCGGATTGTGATGCTGGTGCTGATGCTGCCGCCGGGGGAGCCGCGGTGACGTCACGCGCGGGCCGGCCAATCCGCGCGCCGCCTGCCCAGCATCCGCCGCCGGGCCCGCCGCTCTGCCCACGGGCGGCTCCTCGAAGGGGAGGAGCGCCCGCCCGCCCGCAAGGCAGTTCCGAAGAGAGCGAGCGAGCCCCTCCCTGCTCGCATCTTGTCTGTGGGTTGAAGTCCCTCCGAGGGCTCTAGCCCTCGCAAGGACCCCCAAGCCTTTGCAGATGGGGATGCCAGTTCCCATGAGCCCCAGCTAGCGTGGCCAGCGGGAAGGCCAGGAGGCTTCTCTTCCTCCTTAAGGGATTTCCTCGCCCTTCTTCTGCTGAGAAAGGCAGAAGCAGCCCTGGGAAGGCACAAAGGGGAGGCCAAGAGAACGAGGCAGTGCGTTTGTTTTTTAACAATACATGCACAACCCATCTTTCTTCTTCTTGTGAGGAACCCAGGATGGCCTACAACGTTCCCCTCCTCTCCATCTAATCCTTTCCAAAACTACCTTGTGGGTCCAATCACCCAGTAAGAACCTGGAACTCGCGAGTCCAACATTTAGCCCCATCTGGATTTATTTCAAACTTGGACGTTTTGCTTCATTTTGTTCACTAGAACAAAACAAAACAAAAAACACACAACTAGATCCTGGGGCAAAAGACACACTCTAAAAGAGATTTCCAGATAGCTTCTATAAACAAAACAATTGGTCTTTGCATTACTACAAATTCTGAGTTCAGGAATTGTTCTGGGAACTCAGTCCTTCCAAGGACAATTCTGCTTGTGGTTACCTCCTCCTCAGCAGCCTTCTTCAATTTGGTAGGATAATTTACGATGCTGAGAATAATATTTTGCCACTGCTGTTGTGAAAGCATTAGAAATCCTTGTCAATCTAATTAAATCACCCAGAAATCATCTGCTGGCATATCCAGCTCTACCTTCTGCCCAGGCCTCTCTGGTAGGGATAAGACAGCTTAGCAACAACCAAGAAACAACTCTGTATGCTTCTCTCCAAGAAAGGCAGAAACCCAGATGAATGAATGACACATGAAGAAAATACATCTATCAGCTCACGGTCGAATTCCTCATTTATATTCAGGTTTCCAGAGAGGTAGCAGCATTAGTCACTTATGGCAAAAACACAGAAACAGAACCAGTCAGAAGGGGCCTCCCGGGCCATCCAGTCTGACCCCCGGCTCCAGCCAGCTCCGCTCACGACATGCCCACCATGTGCATGTCCAGCCTATCCTTGAACACCCGCACCGATGGGGCCTCAACCACCTCCCGGGGAAGCCCCTTCCACACCCTCGGGATCCTGACTGTCAGGAAGTGCTTCCTGGCATCCAAATTGAACCTGGGTTCCCTGAGCTTGGCTCCATTGGAGCACATCCTGCCTTCCTCTGCAGGGGAGAACAGGTCTCTACCCACCTCCATGTGACGCCCCCTCACATACCTGTGTGTCGCCAACAGATCCCCTCTGAGTGTCCTCAGTTCCCTGCAGTTCCAGTTCCCTGCAGCCTTAAAGCCTGGTGTCCTAATTATGACCTGAGCTTTCCTGGGCTCTGTACCTTTGCAAGTGAGCTGCATCTGTTGTAATAACTGTTCAACTTTAAAGATGTCACAAGACTCTTCCCTGTTCCTACCAAACCATGGATTCCGCCTTCCACTTATGTTCAAAGCAGAAATACAGAGAAGTTTCAACAAGGCCCTGTGAGCAGACTGGCCTCTCTTGAGCACCACAATAGACATAAACAGTGGAGAAACTTGACCTGGACCCTGGGCCAAATGTTCAGGGCCCCCACCTGACCACCCAGAGAGCAGTGGGTAATTGGAGCACAGGTAAGCCAGGTGGTTCCCACCAGGGCTGAAGTTGCTCAGTGTAGCAACTTTAAACATTTTGGACCTGGGGAGCAATTGGCTGGGAATATACCTAATTAGAGATGTTCTTTCTATCATTTTTACATTTAAGGCATATTTCACTTTTTCTGTAATGCATTAATAAAAGGGAAGGGTATCAAACCCTCATGTGATTCAATGCAATTTTGGATGAAGAAAGATCATCCTGAAAGAGGGGAAACATAGAAGAAGTAAAGGAGAAGAAGAGTATTTATGAATATGAATAAATAGCTACCATGTAAGCAAAGGTTCCATTGCGGGATGTACTTTTTGAATTTAGCATCAAACAAACTATTAAGTTTCCTGACTGATTTGATGAACTAACTCATTTGTATTGTGAGTTTTTTTATCTTTCTGATTTTTGTTGTTATGAATGTGGCTTTTTTGTATTGTATTGTTATTACTTAACTTTTTTAAAAAACACCCTTTTCTCTAATGATATGATCCAAGTAAAGGATCCATAAAAGCAAACTGGTTGGCCTAGATCGAATCAAGCCAGAACTTTTCCAGGAAGCAAAGGTGACAAACTGAGTCTGTTGAAATGTGGGCACATCAAGAGAAGACAAGGCTCACTGAAGAAGACAATCTTGCCAGGGAAAGTCAAATGCCGAAGAGGAGGATCGTCAGCTTGGAGGTGGATCAATTCCGTAAAGGTAGAGCTCATCGAAAGTGAGTGAGGCTGGGAAGGACAGGACATTGGGGCAAGCTCTCGTTCACCGAGTCAGAGATGACTTTGTAGCACATCCCAAGAGCAAATGGCCCGTACATGCGCCATGGTGTGCAAAGCAGGGATCAAAGCTTTCTGCATTTTTCTCCCTGTTCCATGCTAATTAGCCCCTTTAATTCCATTGATCAGGCCATGAGAGTTACGGTTATTCTGGCCAAAACAGCACCAACAGCTCACAAAAGGGAGGCGTAAGTAGGAGTTTGGAACACTGTGTTTTGCAGAAGTACAAAATATATTTGATGACTCACCTTATTAACTCACCTTATTAATTCCTGAGTCGGCTGGACACCACAACATCTCTTTGATAAGGGCTTAATGAAATCAGCCCCCGGTCAGAGGCAGGAGGCTGCTAATGCTTCTTATCTTCATACGTTTCAGCAATGCCCAGTGGAAGCAACCTTTGGGGAGGAGGTAATATTTGAAGTAAATCTTGTGATGGAAAGTTACTTATATTCAGTGATAGACATCTTTGTCTTAACGACTTGCTTACCCCCTGGAATTCATGCAAGATAAATGGATTTTCTGCGCCCTTTTGATAGCTAGTCACAGGATGTTGAAGGAATGTTTCAGGTAGGAACCAAAAACCTGTGCAGGCAGCAAACAGAAACAGAGAAACAGAGCGAGTCAGACAGGGTCCCCCGGGCCATCTAGTCTGACCCCCGGCTCCAGCCGGCTCCGCTCACGACATGCCCACCATGTGCATGTCCAGCCTATACTTGAACACCCGCACCGATGGGGCCTCAACTGCCTCCCGAGGAAGCCCATCCCACACCCGTGGGGTCCTGACTGTCAGAACAGTCAGGCTGGGAATCTGAACAGAAGGTCTCCACGCTGCAACATGTTGTTGCGAATCCAGCTGCTCTGTTATATTCTGTCCATGATTTCCTGCTGCATCAGCCCTTACGGGGAATTGCAATATAGTTATTATTTATGTATTTATTTATTTAGTAAACTTCTATGCTGCCCCATTCGCCAAAGCCTCGGGGCGGCTCACAACAATAAATAAATACATATAATCATATAAAAACAATATAAAAGCTTCATTTCCTGAAAGTCTCTGTGTGTGCATGCTATATGTACTAAGGGCATGGATGTAGTTGTACATTTGTGTATACCTAGTCAGGGGCATCCAGTGACCCCAAACACACCCATCCTCACCACCCAAAACACTTGAACATGCAATATATGTATATTGTGGAAAGGCTATGTGTCAAAACTCGGTATTATTCAGTCTAACCTAAGCACCACCTTCTAGTGGTTAGAATCCACGCAGTGTCCTAAATAAGCCTGAGGAAGTAAGAGTGCCTTATGGAAGAAACCTGCGATGGGGCGATTCCAGAGGGGGAAAGGGTCTTTTACACCGTTAACCCTTGCGAGGTTCCTTCTCTTTGGGTGTCCAAAGATAGGCTGGACATGCACATGGTGGGCATGTCGTGAGCAGAGCTGGGGGTCAGACTAGATGGCCCCGGGAATTCCTTCTGACTCGCTCTGTTTCTATGTTTCTCTCTGGCCATCCAGCAAAGGAGGGCAGCATCGCAGAATCCCACGAACCGCGGCGCACACTCCCACCGGCTTCTCCAGGCGTTCCTGAGCAACGCACTCTGGAAAACCCGGTTCCAAAGGGCTCTTTCCAGCCCTCCCTTTGGAAACGTCCAAGCGAGAAGCATCGGCAGCCCGTTTCCCCGTTGCACACCGCTGTTTTGCCGACTTGCACACGCGGCTGCACGGAGCATTGCACGCGCAGTGCGGAACCTTCCCACGGCAAGGGGACGCGCATCCGCACGGCCCTTTGCAGGCGGGGGAAGGGGCACGTACAGGCCGTTGGCCGAAATCCCCCGACAAAGACGGACGGGGAGGGGTGGGTCAAGCCCTCCCAAGAGGTCACGGGCAAAGACTACAAGCCCCAGGATGCCGCGCGCGCGCCCTCACCCATGTGATCCTGGCAGCAAGATACCGTATCTTTCGGGGAGGCGCTGCGGTTTAGTCGGAGGAAGAACCCGAAATCGGGAACGAGTTTGTGGATCTTGCCAGCCGCCTTCGTTGCAGCCTCGCCGACACAGCACAAGCAGAACTTCAGGAAGGTATCAAGATGATGCCGGTAAATGTATTTCGTCTACTTTTTGCGCTGAGCGGTAGGCGGAGGAAGGGTGGTGGAACGGGGGATTCTCTCGGTTCTTGGAAAGGTTCATGCAAAGACATCTGCAATATTTCCCAGCCCAAGTTTGCCAAGCTGCACGAACCAGTCCAGGCTGGTCGACTCTCCCACCGTAAGGGAGCCTGTAAGGGAGCACATTCTGATTTCGACTGCATCTTAACGTCCTGTCAATCCACACGCAAACAAAGCTATTATCTTGCTAGAAACACAGACTAAGTACCTCCACCCATGGCCGCTTACCGGAGTCAGCAGACATTAATTTCTAGATCCCAGCTCAGGCGATGGATGCCCCTGTCCTGCCCAAATTTGGGAGAAGTTGCCTGGACCGGCCTTTCCCCCCGCTATAAGTTGGTGTCCGCACGCAGACGGCAAGGTTCTCAGCCCTCCACTGCTCTCTGAAACCGAAAATGAAAATATTTGAATGTCCTCTCCGATAGCCGAGCAATGAGCAACATTTTCTTAAAACTTACATGAAAAGATGCATTAAGAACTACAGAAAATGTACGCTTAGGAAATGCGTGAAGTGACCAGCTGTGAAGGTGCACAATCCTAGGCAGGTCTACTCAGAAGTAAGCCCCCATAAGGCTGAGGAAGTAGTTCAAGGATCACAATCTGGACTTGTAGTCCTTTTCTGCCTGACGTGGGGTTGCACCTTAGATTCTGGAACAGAGTGGTGGGGGGGGGGGGGAGATGAATCTGAATGGAATTCGGACAACAGAGAGAGTGGGGATCTGTTTCTACACCTTTTGCAAGTTCTCTAGATTAAAGGTGGAGAAGCGAAGTCTGAGGGATCTCCTATTTTTCTTGTTAGAATCCAGAGGTCCACCAGAAACGGGCTTAGCTGCGAAAGATACCCTCTTGGAATCAAAGAGTTTTCAAAGAGTCATTCTGAAGACGGGCACTGAACCCGGCCTGGAGTCTTTCCTAACCCAAACACACTCCTAGTTACCCCATGTTCTTAATCCGTAATTAAGTCAAGGTGGGAGTCATTGTATTGCTTCTGTCGCTAAAGAACTGGGAGCTGGGAATCCTTGCTAATCTGCTGGAACCCTCCAGAAATCTACCAATAGATTGAACTCCACCTTCCACTCCATTCCCCAGCTGTTGGCATTCCTACGTGTCCGTACTGTCAGTGCTTCCAGTTTTTCTGTCCTTGCTTCCTTCCTCTTCTTCATTCTATTTGGCATATGTACGTTGGGTCCCTCTCGTCATGAGGAACCCAAGGTTCCCCTCTCCGTTCTGGCCTTGCAAAGTACGTTACGCCGAGGGCCAAAGTGGGCTTCATGGCAGAATGGGGATTAGGACCCCGAACTCCTGGGTCCCAGTCCAGCACTCTCCACTGCTTCCACCGCACTAACGTTCGGTGTGTTGTTGACCATGGTTGGAACTGGGGTACCAGATGAGTTGGGGTGCCGTTCCAGTGGGTGATTCTGCAGGCCAAGTTGAACTAATGAAGATAGTTGGCCTGGTTTCTTCTTGTGAATGCGGCTGGTTCCTACCTTCGTGCCGCACACCGAAGGGTTACGAACAGGTCGTCTGCCTTGCAGTACAACCCAGACGGGTTCCCTCTTGAATCACGCTGTGCTTTGGCACCCATTTACCTGAAAGTCAACCTCTTTGAATTCAGTGGGACATAGATATGAGTAGACATACTGTATCCAGGACCGCATTCCGAAGCAACTGTCCTGAAGTTTCCAGTTGAATCCATGGGGCAAGTTGAGCTTCACTTGCGTCGTTGATTTGTCCAGGTTTAGCACAAGGCGGGTCATGATCCAAGTATGCTGCCTTCCTGGGTAGGATATCATTAAAGCAGTAAGATATTCCAATAGGAATAAAAGAGGACGGCTCTTCCTTCTAAATGATCACATGCTAATTAGGATAGGCAAGACAAATGAGAGGCAGCCGGGCCAACTTAAGGGCCTTTTTAAATTCCTACGAATGACACATGCTTGTCTTGTGACTGCCTTTGTGGGACGTTTGTCACACAGGACAGGACTTTCCCAAACATCTGATGCTATGTTGCCTTCTGGCCAGCAGATCGCCCAGTCCTCCCCAGCAGAGAGTCCACCCGATTTTCCTGGCTGCCCCTCCTGCAGGCGCCCATCCATGGTCAGAGACACTGGAAGCTTGCAACAGATTTTGAGCAAGGCAGGGTGTGACTGTCCTTCATTTTCTTCTTGATCTGATGCCTCTTTCTGGAGAAGGAAGAGCCATCTGGATTTTTGCAAAGCTCCAGGCTGAAGCTGGGGTTTAGTCATTACAGTGCATGTCAGCGTAGAATTATATCTGAGATAGTGCAGTATATGTGGGATTGCTTCCAAACCTGCTCAGTCCTTTTGGGAGGCATCAGCCCCAGTGGTCAGGGATTAGGGGAAAGGTAGTCCAAAACCTCTGGCTAGCACTGGGTTGCTTATGCCCGCCACGCACGCCTGCAAGAAAACCTGGTTATCTCTTACATCTTGGTACGAAATGACTTCATGTAGCTTGCTTGGAATGTGTGCACAATTCTCCAGCTGAACTGCACTGACAATACCCGCTCAGGAAGCTCGGCAAATAAGAGGCCTCTGTGTCGTTGTTTTCCCATTCTTGGCAACCCAGAAATGGACCACACCCCAGCAAGCCCAGTCTTGCGTAAAAGTGCCTGCCAGTCCTGCATCACAGCTCCTGGGTCACAACAAGGCAGCTCTGGGTGCGCTCTGCGGCAAAGCTCGGGCATGGAGTGCTGAAATGGGCCATCGTTTGGGGGCCTCCACAGTGCTGGAACAACAGAAGACCCCCAGAGCATCTTTGCCAAGCAGAGCGTGAGGGCCGGGCCGGGCCGGGGGTGGCAGTGGGGAGGAGTTGAATGCCAGCTCCAGGGCGTGAGCTCAAGCGGAGTCCAGGGCTTCTGATGGCCAGAGACTCGGGGCAAGTCAGCAGGTCCAGGTCAAAGGCATGGAAGCAAGCCGTGCGATGTTGCAAGCACAGAGAGTGGGAGAGAGAGTCAGGGCACAGTTTCAAGGTCGGCTTCCCGGAGAGATGTTGCTGCGAGGGCAGTAGCAGGCTGGAGCGAGGCAGGGTCTACTTCGAGGAAAGACGGGCAGAGCAGAAAGGGCGCAGGCTGGAGGGAGGCAGGAACAAGCCGGAGCAGAGCAGAGCAGAGCTAGCGCGAAACAGGCAGGCTTCTGCTGGCACAAGGCATAGAGAGGAGGGCCAGAGAACAAGGAGTCCCCAAGACACCTGTGCTGCTGCGGCAGGGAAGCCTCTTCTGCTGGTCTCCGGCTGCACTGCCTAACTGCTCCTCAGGAGTTCCAGAGCTGGTCCTGGTTCTCCAGGCCCTTGCAGGGTCACTCAGGCCCCGATCCCGGCAGTGCGGTTGGTGCCCTCTGTAGCACACCTTTTCCTGGGTTTGCCTGAGAACTTGCACACCGAACAGGGATGTTAGCCAACTTTGGTGCATGTCGCATGTATAACGCACCTTGCACACTTTGCTGGGAACGTACGCCTGGAAATACAAGTGTGTCTTGTGGCCCCCAGGCATTTTCCCTTGGACATAGGCAGGGGGCATTTCAAATCTGAGAAGCCGGCTGCCACATAAGTGAAGTTCCTCGTTTCACACACAGCGTTTGATATTTTAGAGAGTTTTTTGTGCTGCTGCTGCCGCCGCTGCTTTTAGCGATTCCACCCAAGGCGCAGCATTTCTGCTTGGACATGAAACACAGATGTGGCCCTGAGCACAAAGAAATTGCAGGAACCTTGAGTCTAGAGATCCATTCTTTGTAAAAAGACACCTGTGTTCAGTCTCGCTTTGGAGTTTAGCAGTGAGGTGGAATAAGAGGCCAGATAATCACAGGGTTCCCTGTGTAGACGTGGACGCAGTCGATTGGTGAGCCTTACCCGGTGTAGCTGTCTGATTGGCTGAGGATTGCCAACATTTTGGGCAGAGATGGTTTTCCTGGTCACGTGACCCAACTGATGCTCTGTATGGAAGGCACACCACTTCTCTCGTGGAAAGACACCCGCTTCTCTCCATCGCTCTGTATTCTCACACCGAGCTAGATCCAGACTGACAAACAAGTGATTTCCAAATGTTTGAGACTACAGTTCCTATCAGCACAAGACAGCAAGGGATTGTGGTCCCCAGGATGTCTCCTGTTGATCTACGGATCCTTGCAGGTGGGATGAAAAGTACCTGGGATTTGCTGGCGGCCAAGGCGATGCCATGGCAGGTGGGTTGCAGCCTCTGGTCAGCAAGCTGTGAATTGGCTTGCTGAGGCTGATCTCGAAAGCGTGAGTTTCAGCGCACCTGCGCAGGTGCCGCACTCTTCCAATGATGCGCCCATGCCTCTGGCCCGTTTTGGCACATGACAGCCAAACAGCTGCATGGTTGGCAGCGATGGCATAGATTGTACAAGAGGGTGAAGAAAATGAGCGCATTGTTCGTCTCCGACGTCTTGCCAATATCCAACTCTCACGTTGTTATTTCTTGTCCTCCCACTTCCCCCTGCCCATCTTCGATAGATGCATTTCTTCTTCTCTGACAAAGTGGTCCTTCTGTTTGACTTCTGGAATGTCCACAGCCCAGGAGGTAGGAAGAAAAACAAAATTATCTCTAAGCAAATATAAACTTCTGATTATTTGGGGCAGAGATCGTATCAAACCTTTGCTTCAAAAAGGTGAAGGACGATCATGAAAGGTTGCTTTGTTTCATGCAGTACCTAAGATCTTTCTGGACGTCGCCTCCTTAACATGCTTGGCCTCGTGGTGTTTTGCAGGGCCAACCCAAGCAAGCTGAAGCACCCAGGCTGGGTCAGAAACCCACGATGCACAACCCGGTGCGTGGTGGCCCGTGCAGGTGGCCCGGCTCCCGTAGAACAGTAGTGGCCTGGGAGCTTGAGGCCAGTAACTGCTGTCAGACCAGCTTTCCCAAACCCGGTGCCCCCCCAGATGTGTTGGCCTGCAACTCTCGTTATGATCTGCTTGGCATGATGGGAGTTTGGTGTGCCCCATCCGGAGAGCCCCAGGTTGGGGAAGGGCAGTTTGGTTCTGCTCTCAAGGATTTCCAAGACACCTCCCTTCCTCTCCAGGGGATGTGTTACTCCGGCGGGTTCAAGATGGGCTGCGGCATCTGGCGATTCTCCTGCCGACGTGCTTAAGTGGAGGTGGAGCGCTGGGCACTGAGGGGCATTCCTGCCATTCCCAACGATACCCAGAAAGATTAATGCGGGTGGGAAGGTAGGAAGTGGGGAAGGCTTGGATAGAGATTGATCTGTCCAAGACCTATGATCATGATCTATCCAAGACAGAATTGGATAGACATTGATCTATCCAAGACCATGATCTATCCATGGTGGGCATGTCGTGAGCGGAGCCGGCTGGAGCCGGGGGTCAGACTAGATGGCCCAGGAGGCCCCTTCTGACTGGCTCTGTTTCTATGTTTCTATGATCTGAATGACAGGAGGCAGGAAAACAGAGGTGGGTGGGAAGTTGCTCATCAGGCCTGCAGGCTACACAAACTCCAGTGGTTAAGCTCCTGCCTTAGACTACCGAAACAACATGAATTTTTTGATGATGGTGATGATGAAGAAAATATTTCTGAGCCCAGATGGACCCTCAAGGTGACTTCAGTTTCACAGTGTAAAGTTTAACCCTTTAAAACTTCACATGGGGTACAGTTAAGAGCAAGTGGGAAACACAGCTCTAAAAACAGGGAGTGGAACAGACAGATGGGACATTACTTGAGAGCCTGGTGAAATAGAAACATTTTAAGTTTTCCAAAAACTAAGTGATGAAGGGGCCAGTTTGGCATCCTTTGGGAGTTCTGCAGTCAGGGTGGCACTGCAGAGAAGCTGAGCTCCAGCGAACCGAGTCCCTCTCAGTGGTGGGGCGTGAGGAAGGGTCTGCAACCTGTGTGCTCAACTATGGGTAGAGTCATAGAGGGGAAGGTGCTCAGCAGGCCAGACAGCTTTGTCCACATGCCTTTAGGATGAGGAAAGCTGGCCGGATCCCAGTGAGGGCTCACTGCTTTCGCAGGGAGTTGCGATCAGAAGCAGTGGGCGACTCATTTGCCCATCATTTTTAAACGTTAGACATTTGAATCAGGTTTTAACTGCACAGTGGCTTTTTGGTTTTTGATTTTGCTCCTATTCTCGATTTTTTGTTTTGAATTTCCTTCATTTGTGAAATGTTATTGGTTTTATGTGCATATTTATTTATCTAATCACCTGTCGGATTGTTTGCGTTGGTTTTTTGTAAGCCGCCTTGAGACGCCTTTGTGCATAGGGCAGGGTATAAATATTTTAAATACATCAATAAATAAACTCTGCCCTGGAAGTCTTCTGTGTCTGGCGATCCCGGCTGGCAAGTGGGCACCAGGGCCATGCCATATCCAGCAGAGATGGAGCTTCCCTTTCTCAAGCTGGAGGGCAGACTGGAAAAGAAGCTGGGCCCACGAAGCCACCTGCTTCCCTTCTCTGGCTGCACACTTTGCCCCAAAACAAATAAAAGACTCTGGAGCCGCTGTTTGCCAAGCGGCGTGTCTGTTACAGTCACGATTTGCAGTGGCTGCAAAGCAGGGCCAGGCCCCAACCTTGCATTCTGCAAGCTCTCGCCCAGCAAAACAAGCCGTGCAGATCCCAGTGCCTCCCCTCTTTGCTTGCCGGACAAACTGCCGCTCTGGCGGGGCAGCAGCCCTCCATCCTGTGCCCCCAATCCAGAGATGCCAGGATTCAAACCCAGCACCTTTGGCAAAGGAAGGGAATGCTTCCCCCCTGAGCTGCCAGGTGGCATCTGTCCCGAGCTGGCCAAGCTCTGAAGGCGGCCTCTTTTCTGGGCTCTCTAGCAACGGGAAGCAGTTGAACCCGGAAGCACTTGTGTGGACACTGGTTGGATCCACTCAAGTCCTTGGCCAGAAAGTGGGCCCACTGCGCCACTTTTTTGATCGGAGAAGGCCGAGGTGGAACCTGGCCCCTTTGGCTTCCAAGGATACTCTGTGCGACTCCCTTGTGGATCGCGCCTTAGTCGCACTAGAGCAGAGTCAATGAAATCAATCAATCATTCCTGGGGGTCTGCTAGACAGGCCCAAGACAAAACAAAGACGCTTTACAAAGGTCTACAGACACTCCTTCCTCACTCTAGATTGTGAGGAACTTCCTGTGGAGTCAGCCCAAGACTCTTGGGTCATCTGAAATTCTGCACCCAGAAAAGCTTGGTTCTGTGGCTTGAATTCCACCGTGTGCCAGTTGGCACATGCACATTTGCGCTCTTGTTCCGCATGATTATCGCAAGGAGGAAGAAGAGCACAGAGGGGTGCCTGTCCTGCCTCGCCCCACTGCAGAACTAAGCCAGCCTCACGGGCGGGGGAGATGTCTCCACTTTCACCAGGACCCTCAAGTGCCAAAGCAAACATTTCCGGGCAGTTGGTGCCCACAGAGGGCTGCTCTTCTCGTGCTTGCGCAGGGCAGTCCCAGAACTGGGGGTGGGGGCCGTCGCACCCTTGCTCACATCGCCACTCTTGTTCCGACAGGGATGGTGCTCTCGGTGGTGGTGGTCCTGCTGATGGCCGTGCTGTACGAGGCCGTCAAGGTCGGCAAGGCGAAGCTGCTCCAGTGCGCAGTGCCAGCCATTGCCCCCAGCGTCAGCCAGGAGACCCTGCGAGAGCCGGAGAGGGCGTCGGTGAGCACGGCCACGGAGCAGCAGCTCACGCTCCCTCGGAGGAAGTAAGGGCGACAGCAAGGGGCGGGCTGCCGTTCCTCTGGAGAAAGGGGCCCCTTGCACTTTGCACAGGGCTGGCCGGCCCTCCCTCCCGTGGAGCCAAGCGAAGCAGCTGCCTCTGGCAGTCGATGCCGGGGCAGCGGCTTCCCCTCCCCACTGGGTCTCACCCCCTTGCCTGCTTTGTGCCCCGAGCGACTCAGGTGCTCCTCGGTGCCGTGGAGGATATTGCTCCGTGTTGGAGAAAGATCCCGCTGCTAGCTAGCCTGGTCTGACTCTGCGCCTGGACGGGGGAAGGTGCCACATCGATCTTGGACTGCCTGCTCTCCTGGGGCCCCCGGGTGCTCCTTGTGGGGAGGCCCCCAGGATGCTCTGCATGCACAAGGCCCCGGGTTCAGCCTCCAGCATCTCCAGTCACGGTGACAGGGAAAGACCCTTCCCTGCCCAAGGCTGGGTTTGACGGACATGTCTCTCCTGCTCTGAGTCAGAGTCCTATCAGCGCCTCACTTCTAGGGCTCTGCTCCTTCTGCTCCTTGGGCAGGTGCCAGGCAGGCATGGGGTGTGGTGTGTGGGTGTTGTTTTTGCAATGGCGCATTGTTTGTAACACATTTGCTCTATCAAATAGTCTTCTCACCCCAGTGTGCTCCAGATGTATGGGAGTGCAACTCCCATCCTCCACAGTCAACACAGAATAATCATTCTAAATGACCATGTCAGGGGGCTCCAGACTGGGGAAAGCTGCTCTGATTCTTTTTAACAGAATTTTTTAACAGAATTCCTGTATGGAATTCCCTCCCCATGAACCACACATTTTCTCCTTCCATGGCTGCCTTAAGGAGTTTTAGAATCTCAGCTGTTCTGTCTGGCTTTTAATTAAATGTGTTTTTAGCGGTCACAGATGATGGATGGTTTGAAATGGAATTTTATGGAATCTGGCTTTGTTTAAAACTGTTCCTGCAATGATTTTATTGTTTTAAATTGCTTATGAGGTGGTTATATTGATGTCAGTAAAAGTTTTCACGGTGGAGCGGGGCACGTGGTGCCTTCTGCCCAGGTGTTTTGGATTACAAGTCCAATAAACCTCAGCCAGCACAACCAATGGTCACAGATAATGGGACTTGCCTGGACCATCTGGGGGCAATGTGGCGGCTTTTTTCTAGGGTTTGGGGAAACTGTGACCTTGAACCACAGCTAAGAAATGCACGAGTGAAAAAGAGAGAGAGAGAGAGAAAACAGGATGGAATATTAAGGAGGGCACAGCTGACAAACGAAACCAAAGCACTCCATGCTGCAGCATCGAGTTGTGGGTCTGCCGGGTGGAGTTGCTAAGCCTACAAGTTCTCCCAGTTTCACACTGGTGGGCATGTTGTGAGTGGAGCCGGGGTCAGACTAGATGGTGCAGGAAGCCCCTTCTGACTCGCGCTGTTTCTTCGTCATACACGCTACTTGTGGCTCGGGCTGACGCTCGCTGGTTTCTTCTTTTGGAAAAGGTGGTTCCTGTGGCACGTGGCTCAGTCCCTGCTCCACATCGTCCAGGTGGTCCTCGGTTACCTGGTCATGCTGGCCGTGATGTCTTACAACACGTGGATCTTCCTGGGAGTCATCGTGGGCTCGACCCTCGGTTACTACTTGGCCTACCCGCTGCTCAGCAAGCGATAGCAGGCCCGGCGCCAGAGGACGCGTCATCGGTGCAGCTTGAACTCGACCCTACGTCTGGAACCAATCCTCGGGCTCAGCTCTTGCTGGGGAACGGAGGTCACTCCAGCCGTGGTGCCACGATGTTCTCCTGGCTGGGTCTCCTCTCCAGCTGCCACATTCAGGGTATTTCCAACTTCCGATCTTGCAGAACGAGCCGTTTTGCTCCCACCTGTCTTGCAAAAGTGGTTCTCCAGGTGCCTTTGAATAAACTCCAGTAGGCCTTACCATGGGGCGAGGGTTGTGGGGCTAGGAAGGGGGTCTTGCCTGCACTAAAACCACTGGCTCACTGAGACGTCTCATCTACCCCGGCCTTTCCAGACCTGAGCCACCAGGTCTTCCTCGGCAGAAAACCACTTTTTCCCAGGTGAATGTCGACACTCAGTACAGTAAAGGTAGATTCAGGACTGGAGCAAGTGAGATGTTCCCTCCAGGCCTACAACCCCCTCGTTCCTAGCCCACAAGGATGACGGGAGATGTAGTCCCACACTTCTGAAGCACGTGTGTGTGTGTGTGTGGGGTCACTCTTCAGCGTTCTCCCAAAGCTTTCCACCTAGTGCAAGGACGCTCAGAAAGCCTCACTCAACTGCTGGGGAGCAATGGCTTTAAAATCAGGGTGGCTGGTGATGGAGAGGACTGAGCCCACATTGTTGCATCAGGGGCCACTTGGCATAAGGGTGACCGTGAATATCGCATGACACCCTTGCTGCGTCTGCCTTTCGTGCCCAGGGGCTGGGCCTCCTGGAGAGATCAGGAGGACAACTGGATCGTGGACAAGGGGGAGGTTTGGGCCCATCAACAAGCTTCCTAGATCCCAGTTTGTAGTTTGCCTCACTCCCTGGTGACGGTGGGACAGGGAAGAGTCTCGTTCCCATCGTCTTGGACCAGAATGTCTTCCAATGCAGAACGTGACTTTTTTCCGTGGATGTTTGTCAATGAATCATGTGGCAGATTCAGAACTAGAGGACTTCAGGAATGCAAGGGAGAAGGTGGGGGATCCTTCAGGTATGGGGTGAAATTAATCTGGTTTGTGCGCGGGGATGCACTGAGATCATCGGTAATTCTCCGACTTGTGCCTGTCGCAGACGTCAAAGATCCCCTGGGGTTTGCGCTCTGGTCCCTTTTGCAGGGTGGCCTCTTAGGAAAATGTATCCCTTAGCAGAACCAAAATGTGCCCGGGGAATTGGTGAAAACACATGAGTGGGAAGCCAGTGCAGAAACGCAAAGTGACAGATTGTGCCCGGAAAACTGTGCCCCGTAGAAAAAGTGAGTGCTCCGTCGCGCTCCGTGTGGGACAAAGATGTTGGTCCACGATCACGACATGCCCGGAGTGTGTCAAAGCAACCGACTCGTTACCTTTCCCAGTTCCAAGGCTCCCCCCTTCTTCAGCAGAGCCCGCAGCCCTCCAAAAGTCTTGGCCTAGCTTTCCCCTCAGCACTGGCTGTGCTAGCCGGGGCTGATGGGCATTGCCAGCCACAGGTTGCTCATTTGGGCTCAGCGATGAACCTTCCAGGAACTGGACGTCTCGGGAAGGCCTGATTGAACGACAGGACACGTGTATAAATACCCTGCATCTGCTCCTTCAAGTCATTCACACCACCTGGCAAATGGCTACTTTGGCTGAGTCCTATGCAGCTGGACTCACTTACTCGAGCTGACTAGAGTCCTTCGGGAACGATCTAGCCTCCCTCCCTGTCCTCACAGGCAGAAGGTGAAGGCGTCAGTAAATACAGCAGTCCAGCCAGTCATGGCTAACATGGCAGGCCCGGTTTCTCCAACTTGGTATTTCGGACTCCAACTCCCAGCTTTCATGGCCACTGACTAGGGCTGTTGGGAGCTGAAGTCCAAGACCAGCTGGAGAGCACCAAGCTGAGAAAAGCTGTTGTAGGGTGAAACATGCTCTCCCTGGTACAGTTGTGCAGCAGGGCACCGAGCGGAGCACACACAGGATTCCTTTGTGGTCCCCCCGTCCCTGCATAGAGTCCATTGTGTGACGAGCCCCTCTGGCCAAAGGCCAGAGGCCAAAGACAAATGCTGCAGGCCGCTTTGGCCAGATGCTCGCCCACAGACAAGGATGGCTTTATACGGAATTAGACTCAATGGATGCCGCTCAAACCTGAGCCAAAGACCTTTGGCTCTGTAATGCGGAAACGGGGGAGATTCAGACCGAGCAAAGAGCGGACTCTTTCCCTCAGCGCATCGATAAACTATGAAACTGACTGCTACTACTGGGAAGCCTTCAAAGGGGACAGGGCCAGTTCTTGGAGGAGGTCCTTGCGGCTTCGTGGCACGTCCCGTCTTGGAGGCAGTATGCTGGGGAACTTGGGCAAGAGGGAAGGGTCGTCCTCACCCCTGCCTGCGGGAACACAGCTGGTTTGCTGCTGTGTGAACAGAAAGGACTAGTCTCTTATCCACGGTGCTCTCTCTCGCGCTGTCTTCCCTGTCCCTACCCCACGTCCCTTTTGATTCTCAAGGGCGTGGGATTCAGGCGTGGGATCTTCTGCCAGCGCTTCCTGGCTGAGAGAGCCCCCTGCCGAGCAGCTGCTCGGAAGGGGACCTCCATGTCCTTTGCTGTACACCCACCGTGGGATATTGACCCCTGCAATGCAAACTGGATGCTAGCAAAGTTAGACTGGGAATGAAGCACAAGCTGCCCAAAACTGGTTGGATGAAGGCAGCTGGGAAGAATTTTTAATCCGTTTAAAATTGTGTCTGTGCGCAAGCAGCTCGGGGCCTCAATCCGTCCGTTTTGGGGGTTTGGCTTCTCCAGGTCCGAATTAGTATAAACAACCCCACTAGGCTTGGGTGGATATTGTGGGAACTCCCCTTCCAGCCTGCCCCAATCTAGTGCCCTCCAGGTCTTCGGAATGGCCACGCCAAGCATTTTTGACCACTAGCCACATTGGCTGGGGCTGATGGGATCTGGAGACGGCCAGTGCTGAAAGACACACAGCTCCTTAGCTGTTACAGACTCCGCTTACGGCAAGCCGCCTGGTCAGCCTCACCAGCACGAATGGGATTTCTACAAAACAAACCCAAGCTGTAAATTACACACTCAACACTTCAAATCAAGGCTCTGTGAGCGGTGAGGTTGCTTTCATGAGGGGGCATCTGCTAAATTTAAAACGCCACATCAAATCCATCTGCTATACAAGGTGTTTCAAAATCAGTGCCTTTTAAAACATTTTACGAATCATTTGTTATTCCTATACTTACCAGATCAATGTTTGTGCTTTTCAAAACTTCGGTAGTTCTGCTTAATTTTGTTCTGTTTGCAAACACCCCCGTGTGCTCATACCTTCCCTGTCTCGGCTTTCTCAGGATCACACCGTGAAAATTTGGTAAGCACAGTCAGAACAAAATGACGCTTTTCGGGTTTCGATTCACCTGTCCCTTTTCCAGGATGGCCAATTCTTAAATAGGAGACCAGGAGCAAAGGTGTGTCTGGCCTGCAGAACGAGGCTGGAGCAAGGGAAGGTGAACCCTGACTGCTCGTTTCGGAGGCGGCCCCGTGACTTCCTGGAGACACAACAAAATTGCATTTGGCAAGAGGTTAATCCAGTGGTGCTCCACTAAAGGACACCTTTTAAACCGGTTTGTCTCCTCAGAGCACAAATCCTGCAAAGGAGGAGACAGACTATGCTGACATTAAATAAAGCAAGATTTTATTATTAATATATAAGCACATTCTCTTAAACATTTGGTATAAGATTTGCAATAAACTATCTTGGAAGAGGGGGTCGGGAGAAGAGAGATTTTTGATCCCCAAGGCACTTTGGATTCCAGGCACTTTAAAAACAAGCCTATGGCAAAGCGATTCTCCCCACAACCGTTTTCAAGAGAAATTACCAAGAGCATGGATCAGGCACATGTGCAGTGGAATGTTATCACAGCAACGGGATATGCATGGATCGGGGCACGTGGATCAGGGGCTGCTTCCCCACCCAAGTTTGCCTATGTCCATTTCAAAGGCGGTTCTGCTCAGGCATTAGGATGCCCCTGTGGGTAAATCGTGGAGAACTTTTCCAGGGCGTGGCCCCCCACTCGTCTCCCTCCCATGTGACTAGAGGGGGGACTCCCATCATCCTCTGCATTTCATCGCCTCCAAGCCCAAATCGGTTCAGGGAAACACGCGCATCCCTTAGGGCCCGTCCCCGGCAGGACAGCTGCAGCTAGGCCCAGCCTGACAGCTCCGAGAAGGAGTGTGCAAAGATTTAGTTTTTGCTGCTACTTTCCCTGAAGTCTCTGCTCCTCCACGCAGAGCTCACGTGGTGGCTTTCCAACCTGTGCAAAGTTGCCCACCTGGCACCTGTGAAATAAAGCGGGAGGGGGTGACCCAACCGGACAGGTCCGGCCACCTGGACAGGGACGGAAGCAGCCCCGAGGTGAGGTTCAGTGGCCAAAACGTTGGACCTGCCTTGCCTTCCTCTCAAGTGAAACCTTTCCAAAACTTGACGGAAAGCTATCGAAGACTTAAGGGAAACGCCTTGGAAGTTCAAGACGTCAGAGAGGAAAAGGCCAATGTATTCTCTGTATCCTTCAGGGTTAAAGGGGGATTAAAATGGAGCTTTGGAAATCCAGTGCTACTATGTCTCAACCTTAAACTTCTCTTCCAGATGCCAAACAACCCATTTCACAGAACAAGGAAGAAAGACTGAGGTCTGTATCCTGCACCCAGCCAGCACTGAAGGGCATTTCACGGTTTTCAAAGGAAGGGGTTGGCTTCCTTTATCGACACATTACACTCAGGTGGAAAAGACACAGAAATGTCCCCTCCTGTTCTTCGGGTCTCTACTCCACTTCCTCTAAACACATTTTGCTGGTAAAGGATGCCTAAAATTGCAATGAGATCCTAGCAGTAGGTACCAGCAAGTAGCCAAGTTTAAAGCTGTCAACTCCCTACCAAGCCTTGGAAAACACCTCCGTCCTCTTCCCCTCACACAGAAACCATCACCTACCACCACTTAGCACATGAACATAAAAGCACACTAGCTCACCCTGCCCTGCTGAACTTAAGAGTTACACCTTGACCATTTCCCACAACACCTGTGACCAGCGTCAAGCACCCGCTGCCACGCGACTCCGTCCACGGGGAGAGGACGAGACATGCACAAGCGTAAAACCCCGGGAATCTTTGCAGGGGCCTAAAAAGGCATGTCAGAGAGGCGCAGATCTGGCTGCTTGGTTTCGAGAAAACACACAACTGGGAAGTCCCCTCCTGCTCAAAACAGAAAAGACCTTTGGTAGCCCGGCTCAGAGCCGCAGGTGTTCACCCCCTCTGCTCCTGGGAGATGACGCTAGTCCTCCAAATACCTTCATCTGGCTGCTTTGGTCTATTCCTGGTATGTGGCTCGCTCGGCTAGCTCTACCCACTAGGCACTGCAGCCAGAGCTCTCCCTGGTCGCTCCAACGGTCTCCTCCTTCAGACAGAGCTGGGATTTAAGAGGGGGGTCCTCTTTGCCTGCGGCTGTTAACACTGGGAAGGAAAAGAGGAGAAGCCCCGACAGGGAAGACACTGGTGTCTGTCGCCAGTAGAGCAGAGCAAAAAGGCGAAGGAAAAAGGGGACAATTGAGGTCATGAAGCTGGACGGTGGAAAGGCGGAAAAGCACGGGGTGGAGAAACTGGGGGGCCTGCTGGCTCATTCCGGTCTGCCCCACCAGGTATTTTGTGCATTTAAGATAAAGTCTCTCTTTAGGTGGGGTGCGGAGAGGAGCAAACACTACCAAAACCCAAGGAGGTGGGGAAGGAAGGTTAAGAGCCGCGCAGGGAAGCAGCCAGGCTTCGGGCGACGGAGGCCGGGCAGGGTTGCCCTGCGAGAGGGGCCGTGGGGTCCCCGGCACCCTTCCCGGGGTCCCCCAGCCCTTCCCCCATGTCCCAAAGGCAGCCCCCTTCCGGAGGAATCCCATGCTAGAGCAGGGCACGGTGCTGCAGAGCCCGCCCCCCACCCGCCCGCCCGCGGTGTCTATGTGGCCCGGGGGATCCTCCCCCAGCGCGGCCTGGCCTAGAACTGGGTCTGGACCCCGTCGCAGTCGGCCGCAGCCCCGTGGCTGTCCTCCTGGGGCGGCTCCACGGGCAGTTTTGAGAGCGGGGCTGCCGCCGCCGGTGCCTCCTCTCCCGTCTCCTTATCGCTGGGCTCGAGGCGCTCGGGCTGGGCCTTCCCTTCGCAGGGAGAAGCCGGCGTGGCCTCCGCGGCCCCCCGTTCCTCCACCTGGCCCTCGGGGGAGTCCTCCGGGATGCCGGTGTCCGCCCCCCCAGGGGCGGCCTCCTCCTCCTCCTCCCTCTCCAGGGGCGCCGTGGTCGCTGGGCTCTCCTGCATCACGGCCCCGTTGCTCAGCTGCTCCTCCGCCTTCGCGACAACGCCGGCCGGGGCCTCCACGGGCAGCTCCGTCACCAGCAGGGTTCGGAGCTCCTTCACGCCGCCGGGGGAGCCCGGGCTGGCGGGGGGAGGGCTGCGGGCCCGGCCCTGCTGCTCCGGCTCCGGCGGCTCCGGGGACCCCTCCAGGGAAGCGGCGTCGTACGGCAGGGCCCCCTCGTCCACGTGGATCACGGACACCACCTGCTTGGCCCGGCGCTGCTTCTCATCGGACGGGTCCTGGTCCGGCTGGCCGCCGCCGAACTCCTCCCCCCAGTCGATGGGCGCCCCCTCGGCCAGCAGGTGCAGGTCGGGGTCACTGTTGTGTATCGCGATGCTGTCCCGGTAGAGGTTGTGCTTCCGCTGCACTGCGGCCTCTTTCACGGCTGGAAGGGGTTGCAAAGGAGTCGGGGACGGTCAGCGCAAGCGGCATGGGCCAGGCGGCCCCTCCCCACGCGGGCAAGCCCCTCCATCATTGGGCTAAGCCCCGGAACACACACCCAAGGCAGGAAGGTGACCTCTCGCCCTGACCCTGCTCACCCCACACTTGCTGACGGACCCCTGGGGGCCGGTCTCTGGGGGGTGCTATGGACATGGGCACACCGCCACCCCTCCCACCGAGTTTCCAATTGGCCTAGCGGGAGTTGCATCCGTGCAGCCGAGCATCCAAGTCTCCCGAGAACCCCTCCCCAGCCTGTTCTCCGCCGGCTCCTTTCCCACGGTCAGGAGTGGGGAGGGGGGCTCGGTGGTTCTCCCCAGAGTGCTTTGATCCAGAGCCGGCTCGGGCCGGCTCACCAGGAGAAGCTGAGCACCTGGGTCTTACTAGTCCCAAAAACTCCCAAATCAGAGTGAGGCCTCTGAGCCACGGCTGGGACAACCGTCAACTCCCCCTCCTCTGAGCCTGAGCTGCCATTCCCACCAGAGCCCTCGACCTCTCGTGCCGCCTGGGAATCTCATCTGAGCATGAGCACCACAGAAGGATACCCCTCCCCTTCCTGGCTAGCACACCAAATGGGCTGGGCCAGGATTTCCGGGCTCTCCCAAGCCAAAATCAAACTGTGAGGAACCCAGAGAAGAGCCGAGAAATAGATTTCTTTAGAAATAGGTTTTTCCACAGATGCAAATGCATGATTGTTTTCCATGCATGCATGGAAGCAATCAGCTTTCGTGAGTTCATCACAGTGACTTGGATTCCTCTGGCTGGCCAACAGCTGGTAAGCCAGATATTATAGCCTGGTATTATACTTATTATATCAAGCAAAGCGGGCTGTCCGAGGAAGGACGTGCCACCAGGACTGCGCCGTCGCATCCCGCAGAAGTGCTGAGAGTGGTTTTAAAGCACTGCAGGATCACAGGGCCAGAAGGGACCTCAGAGGGCATCCAGCCCAACCCCCTGGGTGCAAGAGCTGCATCCTTTTCAAAGGGTTCCAGAGATGCTGTTGCCAGATGGAAGCTCCCACAGCTTCCCAGTCATTCCCAGTCACTACAGGGAAAAGGACGGAAACTACTTGCTTGCGGCCTTTCCAGTATTTGAAGACCGAGATCCTGCCCTGCCTTCCCTTAAACTGGCTCTACTTCTATTTCTTTCAGCCATCAAAGGACTTGGCTTCCGGACCCCGCGACATTCCAGCTGCCCTCCTCTGGACATGTTTCGATTTCTCAGCAACTCCTTAAAAATGTGGCACCTAGAACTGGGCCCATGCTCATCTCATGCTCTCTGCAAAGCGCTAAAGCTGGGTTCTCAGGGACAAAGGGGGCCAGAAGGACTCTTACTCAGCAGAACTGTAATCTCACACCATTTTTTAAGGAGGAAAAGAGCTCTCCCCTTACCCATCATGATGTCTTTCATGACCGACTGCAGGACTACCTCTTCATACGTGTTCTCCACCAGGATGAAGCTGGCAAAATCCTCAAAAATCAGCTCCTGGAATCTGGCTAGGTCCTGCAAGAAGAAAGCCCACCACTGAGAGCCGCAGGGGGAGAAAGGACAGGTGCTCTGTCCCCGGATAACGGTGCCAAGAATGCAGCAGGGGGCGATGGAGCTATTTAGAAACCGCTTTCCCCAGTCGTGCAGTAGAAAAGAGCTGCTTTTGCTGGGGGAAAGAAACTGTTTGCCTTATGGGGGGAGCGTCATCCTCACCCTGTCCCTGGAAAAGGTGGTGGATTAAGGCCTATATGTGAGCTGGAAGCTTCTGAATAAATGGGAGAGAGGAACTTTATGAATTCCATGGCAAGAGGTGCTGACTTTCATTCCCAGCTTGGGGAGCAGACACATTGTTCAGTCAGCCACACTGGGGGCATCCCTCGCCCCATTCAAGGAACCAACACGGCCCCAGATAAGGGGAGGGTAAGCTTTCTTTCCTTGCTTATATTCTGCATCCCTGCATCATCATTCCGTTCAATAAACTGTGTATCATCTTTGATCCAGGTGGCCTCGTTTCTTCCTAAGCACCCTTGAACTTGAAGTGAATGCTCTGGCTGGAGCAGGCAGCTGCACTTAAAACAGCCGCCTCGAAGAGATTACTGCGAGGCCAATGGCCCCAGCTCAAAATTGTGCGAGTCCACTGGATTTCCCCCACTTTGGCAGTGTACTCTTGACCTCTGGGGGTATCTCTGGCTGGTTGCTGCTGAAGACAGGCAGGGCGTGGGCAGAGCTGGGTCAGAAGCAGCTAAACACTTCTTCATTCACAGTTTTACAATGATCGGCTGCCTCGATCCCTGCAGAGAAGCCAAAACTGCTCAAATAATCCTGCAACAATGCTGAAGAGCAAGAGTTGTTGCCCTTCACAACAACCCTGCAAGGTAGGTGACACTGAGAGGCTGCGGCTGGCCCAGAGTCACGCGGGCCAGAGATGGCTTGCCCGCATGTACCAGTGGCTGAAGAGCTGGGCGGGTGGAGGTCTTGCGCCCATCCTGCTGGGGGGATCCTGCGGGTGGCTGGTTTTTTCATCGTGTCTATGGAGCAGTGGGCTAGTTAGAGCTTGGGTCTGATCCAGCAGGGCTTTTCTCATGTCCTGATGGCCAAGGGGGAAGTAGGACCTGCATCTTCCAAGTCCCAGAGCGACGTACCCGCCACCAGCTCTGTGGAGCACCCCACAGAACCAAGGGTCCGAGAGAACACCAGGAAGACAAGTGTGCAGGAAGCAGTGGGATGGGGGCCCTTCCCCCACCCGCACACACCCCTCAAAGATGTCTCACCCCCTTGCAGGTGGGCGCCAGCTTCTTCAGCAGGAAGGGAACCGTGATCTGCAGAAGCGCCTCCCGGAAGAACTTCTTTCTCACTGTGCTGCTGTCATAGTCGTATTTCTGGCGGAAGAGGAGAAATAAAGGACACGGAGTCACATCAGAACCTGAGGGGCCCGGGGATGAAATGCAGAGAATTAATTTGCAACACAGCAGGCAAATTGGTTCTGTCTGCTCTGGCAAGCAGAGGCTCCTGGGTCACCTGTTGATCAACTTTTTTTTGGCCGGGGGACCAGCCGGGGACTCCCGCGTGCAAAACGGGTTTGCTGGCATGGAGCTCGGATTCTTCACAAAGATCACACAAGCCGGAGGATATTTAGCACCTAGGCTAAACATCAGGTCTGGACTGGATGGGCTACCGTCAAAGCAACCTGCCGCTCCCAAATTTCATCTTCAAAGGTTATTTATTATTTTAAGGGTTTTTTAAAAAAATAAAACATAACTGGCTGCCCAGTTGTGTTGGATGCCTCTGTCCCTGTATCTTGGCGCTTCGGCAAGCTGCCGTTTTTGAAATGAAGCAGAAAATACAGTTTTCGGAATATGAAGTGCTTGAATACTGAGGATAGTAATATTGGCTTATAGCAAGGTGAGACACGCAAGGAAAGAGAGCCGAGTCACAGGGTCCATTAAGCACTGAAAGCAAATCTTGCAAGGAAGCAAACAGGCATGGAAGCACAAGGATGCCAACCGTCTAGCGAATCCACAACTTTCCGTAGCTCCCTGTCCCTCCATAAGATCAGATCTGGAAGAGTTAAGACAGTATTCAGAGCTGAAGAGGGAGGAAGGGACTCTTCAAATATGGATTCCACATTTTGGAGGGATCCACCCTGAAAACAGGAGGTGCTGAATCTCTAAAGGTCTCCTGCACTGGAAAAGGTTGGACTAAATGACCTCTGAGGTTCCTTTTGACTCTTAAGATCTTTAACGATGCACTCTGGACTCAATGCTCTTTCTTCTGCACCCCAAAACTCTTAACGGGTCATGCAGGATAGTCAAGGAGGTACAGGCCGATGCTCTTGCTTTTTGGTGGGGATGGACGAAACTAAAGCAAGCTAAAAAAGAATTTTTGGTGTGAAACTAGGGAAGTTAACACAGAGCTGACCAGTAATGGCCCTCCAGACTCACCCTTTTCAGCTACCACCAGTTCCAGAAGACTAGAGAGGACAATAGTTTGGGGTCGCCTGAGTCTGCGGACGTCAGAATTGCTTCTGATCTCACTACACAGTGGTGTCGTGGTGAAGAGCATGGGACTGGGACTCAGGCGATCTGCGTTCTGGTCCCCGCTCAGCCATGGAGTCAGCTGGGTGACTCTGGGCCAGTCCCAGGGTTGTTGTTGCGAGGATAAAGACTGAGAAGAGGAGGCTGTAAGCTGCCTTGAGTTCCAGGAAAGGAAAATGGCAGGGCAGGAGTGTAAGGAGTAGAAATAAAGACACCCAGGAGTACTGGCAGGCATTTGGCACCCTTCATCCTGGCTTCCCCACCTTTGCACCCTGGGAATTGGGCGGAGGCAGACCTAGAATCTCCTGGTTTCACCTGGTCTCACAGTCTTCACTAAGATTTATCACACTCTCAGCCCTACAACCTTCTCGGGGAGCGTGGAGAAGAGAGAGAGACAAAGAAGGGGAGGAAAGGAAACAAGGCCTAAGGAGGTTGACCTTAGCTGCTTCTACCCAGGAGCAATTCTTCTGCTGACGGTTCGATTCCTTCAGATGCTTCACCACACCCAGTGCTCAGCAAGCAGCCCTCACCTTGAGCACCCGCTCCAGGATGCGTTGGATCGTCTTGCACAGCTCGTCTTTACTTAGCGACTTCCCGAGCTCCTGATGGAGGAGAGTCTCGAAAGTGTAGACTGTGTCATCCATTTGCTACAACATTGAAATGGGAAAAGAACGACAAGACCCAAGCACAAGAGAGTCAGTGAAGAGTCACAGGAGAACAGCCTGTTTCCCAAGCCAAAGGATGTTCAAGACACCTTTGATCTAGACGGGTTGTGGGCGAGCTGTGACCCTTCCAAATGTTGCAAAGTTGGGTTCCCTTCAGTCTTAGCCTGCAAAGCCGATGAGGAGGGAAGCAAGGGAGTTGGAAGTCAAACCCTCTGGAGGCCCGTAAGTGGCCCAGCTGTCCGAGGGCACCGGACACACAGCTGCCGCGAGCAGGGCTGCCACTTTAGCTGCTTAGATGAAGTCATCCTGCTGGGCCAACCAAGAAAAACGCTCTTCTTGACAGACTAAAACAAATACCCTGATTACTTGGCCTCCGCAGAAGTGTCGAAACACAAATGTCTCACCTAAGAAACAGAGAATAGGGCTCCTGCTTCAAAATGTGTTTTGCCCGAATGGTGAGGAACCCTTGCTCCTCCAGATGCTGGGCTCCACTCCCCATAATCCCCAGTCACTGACTGTGCAGCCTGCAGTGGATGAGCGCTGGAGATGAGCCAACAGCAGAAGGCCAAACTCAAGAGCCGAACTCTCCAAGGATGCCTTCCAAAGCACTCATTCACCTGGTGACCCTCATCCTATGCCCGCCTTCTCCAGTCTGGTGCATCCTCCTCCAGATGTTTTGGACTGCCATCAGCATTGCCTTCAATCATGCAAGTTGTTAGCCCAGCAGGCTGGGGGAAACTGAGATACGGGGAACTGTATCTCTCTACCCCTTTTCCCAGGCAGGTGAGAAAGCAGCGTGGGAAGGGAAATTCTGAGAAGAAATTGAGCCAGAGTGGTAGTGTGAAGCCACCTCTTCCTTATCCTTTCACTCTGACATGGGGGCTCCAGTTTTTGTGGGTTTAAACAAAAGTGCACAGAGGAATAAGAGGGAGAAAACTCTACATAGCACAGGGCTAAGAAGAATACATTCCGGAGAGCACTGATACACTCTCTCGGCCATTAGGGGGAGCTGTTGGCACGCTCACTGCCTGACCTGCGGCTGTGAGAGGTCTTCTCCGTCTGGGTTCGGTCTGTGAAGGCTAGCAATGTGCTATGACCAGGAATGCACAGGAATTCTGACAGGGGGCTGAAAATCCCCATGAAATGGCACCATCCCCACTCCAAATTCTGGTTCAGCTGCTGAGAGCTGAGCCGAGCCACCTTGTGGAGTTTCCAGCTGTGGACTGGACGAAACAAGAACCGAAAGAAATTGGCACAAATGGCGCTGTTTGTGTAACTTCACGGAATCTGCATTTTGCACGTTTTATACAACTGGCATGCCGAAAGCAGGTGAATCCAGCACCCCTTGTGCAAGAAGGTTGATTCTGCACAAGCTGCGTGGGATCCAGATGCTTCTCGTGCGACGCGCCGCCATTCTTGATGACTGGGCCATGATGTTGGGGCTGATGGGGGCTGATGTCCTAATTTTCTGTACAGCAGCCTCATGTTAAGGAAGGTATGTGCTTTAAGAGAAGCCACCTTGCTATGACTGCCACTCCCACCAGTCTGGTTGGCACAGTGGCTACACTGCTAGCTAGCCGCTGTTCCATCGACTGAGAGAGAAGCGCATGTGGGAATGGACTGACCCCCGTCCGCACCAAGTCAACCTTGCCAGGGTGTCCTCCACTTCCCCCCGACCTTGCAAATGGACTTCTCAACAGCCTGATGTGGAACAGAGATGGATCTGCTCTTCCCTGGGCTTCTGCTCCAGATCTCCCCCTTCAGCAACCCCTAAGATCAGATGAGTGAGCAAGCGAGCACCCCAGGGGAGCTGCAAGGCGGCGGCTGAATTTGGTCCCAGTGCAGAACTTGGCTGTCATCTGATGTGCCCGTGATGCACCTGAGCTCGGAGGACATTCAAAGGGTGACTGGACCAGTCCAGGGAGACGAGCCCCTTCAGGCCCGAAGAAGCTGCGACACAGAGGCGTTCCGAGCTGCGGGCCAAGGCAGGCCCTTCTCATGGTGCTCCCTACCTGCCTCATCAGGATCTGGGCCCGCTGCTTGAACACCGAGGCGCTGGACACATCAAACCTCTGCTGCAGCCCTTCCAGCTTCAGAAGCTCCATCTTCTCGTAGCAGGACTGCATCTTGACCGGGTGGAAAGCCAGCTGGGAAAGCTTCTCCATGTACTGAGGGTGCAGGCATGGAAGAGAGAGAAGGAAACCCAAGATGTAGAAGCCCCCAGGCAGCCAGAGCAACCAACCTATCCAACTTTCTTCCTCACCTACCGGCCTGCCCAGCACTTCAGAAGACAACAGCATCTACCATGAGTCGTCCAGCGCAGAATGCTCTTCTTGAGCATTCCAGGAATGCTTACCCTCTTCCAGAATACTCCATTCCGTGCCTTTTCCTTTCGGCACCCTGAGCCTGTGCATGCTCACCCTCTTCTTGGCCTTCCCCCCTCTTACTTCTGCAGACTCTGAGGTTTCTCTAAGCCTGACCATACCTCCCCTTGGCGGTGCTGCCGCCATTTTGGTGGCATATTAAACATCCCGAAATAAGCCACAATGGGGGAATTACTGGACGCAAGCCCCTAACACCGCACACTCTATTTTCTGGCAATAGAGAGCACTTGCTTTGCACGTGGAAAGTTCCAGGTTCAACCTTGGCACTCCCAGTGAGAAGACTTTAGGCGCCCACGGCTGGCCCATTGTCTGCCAGTGAGCTTCATGGTTGAGTGGGGACCAACACTCACATTTCTGGGTCCCAAGCCCCTCACTCTAACCAGCACCCCACACCAGTTCCCGGACCACTGGGTGTAGGGGGTCGACTGCTGGAAGGTGCAATCCAAAATACAACGTGGATTACAACTTCCAACTCGGGGGGCCCTCGCACTTCAAAAAGGCAGTTCGTTATTCAGTGCTTTTTTTGTCATAGAACGCACAGGAACGGAGTTCGGCACCTTTTTTCGACAGACTTTCCAAGTTTTAAAAGTAACTTTTGAAAATCTGATGTTTGGGCCACGTGGGTTTGAATCGCCCTGTCGAGCGTAGCAGGTCGGTGGCAAAATCATTAAAACGGTGCATATGCGGGCTGCTTGGGTGGTGAGTCCGATGCGTGCGCACTTCGTCCGCGCTGGTTGTGACGGCGCTGCTCGGCTTGTGACGGGTCGTGTGGTCGCGCGCCGAGTGCTTACTGTGGGCAGTGACCGTTATGTTTCGTTACACAACTGATGTGTGTGGGTGTGTGTAAAGTGACTGACTACGTGCGGAAGGTAAATAAGAGTTCCGGCACCGTTTTTCTTACAAAAAAAGCACTGTCGTTATGTCATCTCAACAGCCTTGGAGTGATCTTCCAAGACCCTCCTTTGGAAGCGGAGGTTCTTCCATCTCCACCTGGTGCAGAGACGGTCGACGTGGGTCTTACCTCCCCCAGCTTGTCCATTCCGCCCTCGTTGACAATATTCATGTTTAAGTCGGTGACCTCTTTGAAGAAGACCTCCCGCACCTCAGCAAAGCCCTGGCTGGTGGGGATCATCAGTGCCTCCAGGATGGACGTGATGTACGGCTGGACGTGGTTCCGGACACAGACCTCAGCTTTGGAGGAGACGGAGGCTGGACAAAGAAGCACGAGGCAGGTTGGCACCACAGCCGCCATCTTGCACCCTCCCCCCAGTCTGCACACCCCCCAAATGCCGGCAGACCAACACACGAGAGACGTTCCCTTAGTGCTATGCTCAGCACTCCCTCCTTTTGGGGCAGGCTGAATGCTCATGCATTAGGTGACCAAACAGGTGAGTAATTATGGGCAGATGATCCAACAGAAGCAGGTAGCTTGCTGTCCTCCATGTGAGCCCCCCACCGACTCTGGGCAGTGATCAAGGAGGCGCAGGAGCATGGGACTTGTCCTCCAGATGGTTGGGCCTCCACCAGGTTATTTATTTGTTTATTTCAAACATTTCTATGCCGCCCCCATCACAACAAAGCCTCGGGGCAGCTCACAAAGGATACATAAATAATAACAATGTAACAATTTAAAAAAATTGTTTAAAAACCCCCAGTGCATTCTCGGCTAAAAATTTAAAATCCTATTAATTCAAATAATTTCACAATTAAAATAAGTTTTAAATAAAAAGGTCTTAGCCTGGCGCTGAAAAACAAATAACGACGGCACCAGGCGGACCTCTCTGGGGAGCGCATTCCATAGATGGGGCGCCACCACAGAGAAGGCCCTCCTCCGGGTGCTCACCCTCCTAATATCTAGAATCCTAATATCTAGAATATCTAGATTCAAGGTATACCTAGAATCATGGGATAGGGAATCATAGATGGCGTGGAGAATGGGGCAAGCTTCCATCATGCTCGACCCTGGGTTCAAACTAAGGAAGCTGAACGGGAAAACCCTCTCCATGCAGTGTGTTTGGGGCTGGGAAGAAATCGTTGGAACCCATCCCTCTGGCGCCCATGGACCTCCGCTCCAAAGCAAGCCGAGGCAAGAGTGAGTCCGCAAACACTCGCACAACCCGGTTGTGCAATCAGGGACATTCCCCACGAGGAGCAGCGACAGGTTGTGGGTGAGAGGAGTAGGTGTGCCAGACACCACTCCTGGCGGCCCACCCTTCTTCTCCGCTTGCTGCTGATGCGGGCAGGTGTGGCAGCAACTCAATTTTATGTATTTATTGAGAACTTTTTTAGACCGCCCCTTACCGAAGTCTCGGGATGGTTTAACAGTGAGACAAAAAAATAAAACAAAACACAGCATTCTCATAGATTCATGGAATAGTAGAGTTGGAAGGGGGCCATGGAGGCCATCAAGTCCAACCCCTGGCCATTGCCGGACATCCTCATCAATTTCTGACAATAAAACCCGTATTAAAATAACAGTCAAACCTTAAAATATTGGGAAAATAAGGAGGTTTCAGCCTGGCACCAAAAAGTATAAAGTGACGGCGCCCGGCGAACCTCTCTGGGGAAGGGGGAAAGAGGTGTTACGGACAAACACCCTACAAATGCCTGGAAATTAGATTCAGTCCAGGGGGCCCAGGCCAAGAAATGCGAAGGATTCCCACACCCAGAGGGTTTTCTTGCACGTCCCTAAGGATGGTGCCGAAACAAGTGTCGGCTACCAACTTGGAACGGCTTCGAACGGGGATCTGGTGCCCCGATGGCTAAATATCCCCGGCAATCCCGGAGCAAGTCAGCCTGGGGTCCCACCCGCCCTCTGGGCTCTTTCCACGGCCCCAGGCGAAGATGGAGGGAGGAGGCGGGAGTCCCCCCGGCGCCGCCCCCCCGGCCTCACCTCGGATTTTGCTCGCCAGGTGCTCCCTGGACTGGATGACCTGGTCCATGTCGGTGCGGATGGCGCTGCGCATGGCCGGGCTCTGCAGCTCGCACTTCGCCAGCGCCGCGTCGTAGTGGGCTTTCGTCTGGCCGTGGACCATCCGGTACACGGCGTCTGAGACCTGGAGGAGGAGGAGGAGGAGGGGAAGCTGTGGGGGGCGGAAGCCGGCTGGAGAGGGCGCAGCTTCACCTCAAGAGCAGTCGGACCTACAGGGCTCGGCCAGCCGGGCGCCTTCCGGACACTTTGGACCTCGGCTTGCCCTGCCTCTTGGCCCTGCTGGCGGGGGATGATGGGAGGTGCAGTTGAAAACATCAGGAAAGCACTTAAAAGTCTGCCTGTGGACGTTTTTGCAAAGAGGAGGAAGAAGAGGAAGATGTACTTAGCAGCTGAGGACAGACTCTGTGTCTGGGTGTCTGGGGGAAGAGGGAAATGTATCTGTACCAGTCTGAATTCGGCACCATTTATCCTGCTTTTGCCAGAGCAGGGTAAGGACCCTTGCTCCCTTCAGATGTTCCAGACTACAGCTCCCACCAGCCACAGCCATTGTGCCTAATGATCAAGGGTGCCTGAGAGTTGCCGCCTCAAACACCCAGTGTGGACCACGTCAAGGGAAAAGGGACAAGAGACCATTTACAAGCCTCAATGGGCTGCCCCGTTGCCTTTTTAGCTCCTCTTGCCCTACACTGCAAGAACGTCTACACAAACATACAGAGGACTAGAATCTTGTTTTGGCTGTTTGAAGCTGACATTCCCAGATGATCCGTTCTGAGCCCAACATCAATTTCTGAGCTTTCCTGAACATTCAATGCCCTACAGTAGCTAGAAATTCGGAGGAGTAACTGCAAGTAACCGGAAATGTGTGGGGGCAACAGTAGGTGCCCCCGCCAACTCCAAAGCAATGATGGCTGACAGGTAGATGCTTAAGGCCTGAAAAGCTGCTTTAAAAGCCCGTTCCTGCACAGCTATTTTTAAAAACGCTTCACGTTCTGCACTGGCAGTGAGAACGGCAGAGAGAAGAAAGAGGAGCGAAGGCGGATTTAAAAAACAAAACAGAAAAACAGGAAGGCTTGTTCTATCAGGCCTTCAAGGAAAAACAGGATTTGGGTGGGTGCGACTCACAGCAGAACCAGTCAGTGAGAGAGACGGAAAGAAAGAAAGGTGCTGTGCGCATTTGTGTGGAAGGAGAAAAAGCTAAGGCCAACACAGGAATGTTCGAGGGGGATACGCTAATTCAGGAAATTACACCCATATGGACTGACTCCGGCTGAATGCTCTTCCTACAGGAACTCTGGGGTCTCCGGGCCCTCCTGTGATGTCTCCCACCCATTCCTACTGGGTTGGCAAGCCAGAAGGACTAGCCACTTGAATATAAAATGACTCTCAGGGCATTGGGGGAAGATGGACACTCAAATGCATTCCCAGCTCAGGATTTGACGGATGGGGTACGCAGAGTAGGGAATTTGGTGAGGCTTGGGAATAAGCCCTGCACCGAACACAAACAGGTCTCTGACTCGGTCATGGGGTAGGGGGAAATAGCATACTGACATGGCAGGTGGCTCATAGAAGCCCCCAGGCTCCCCAAGGCCATAATCCCCCCATTTCTGAGTCACAGGCAGTGCTCCTTTCCCGCAAACCCACAGGCCTGCAGTACCCCACGCCTTGCAGAAGTACCAAAAGGAGGGAAAATCAACCCAAACGGGGGCAAAGAGCGCCAGGGATCACCAAGCTTGTTCACAGCCAGTCCAATGTCTGGGGGGCGGGGGCAGGAAATGGGGGGCGGGGAGCAGAGAAGAGAGCAAAGTGGTCCATCACGCACTCCGGGCACTGGTGCCCGCTCAGCCTGCACGCACCTGGATCCAGACCCGGTGCCTTTCCTGGGCTTTGCCCTTCAGTCGGGGCCCAATCATGTTCTTCAGCTCCGGAAGGAGTTCCTCCATCACCAAGTTGCTCAAGATCTGGATAAGAGAAAGAAGACCCTCAGCAACGGACACATAGAAACATAGGAACAGAGCGAGTCCGAAGGGACTTCCTGGGCCATCTAGCCTGACCCCCGGCTCCAGCCGGCTCCACTCATGACATGCCCACCATGTGCATGTCCAGATATAATGTTCCTTCCATTCGGGGACTGGCCAAGTTCTTGCTGGCTTGCCAGATTTGCTCTCCTGGTGTCCCTCTGTGGGATCTGTGTGGTGGCACCCTGGCTATGGAACCCATTCCCAAGAGATGTGCCTGGCGCCAACACTTTATTCTTTTCAGCACCAAGCCCTTTTTATTTCTTCAACACTTTAAGGTTTAATTACTATCTTAATTGGCTTTTATAGAGGATGAGCTGCTGCACTTTCTACTGCGGGACCGTCCTGAGACTTTCTGTAATGGGATGGGCTAGAGAAGCTTTGCATGAACGACGCAAATGAATCTCTCTGGTTCTGCAGTGCCGAAGCGGCACCTGTTCCAAGCCTCACCTGGGATTCGTTGCCACAAAGCATGTCCCAGGTGCCGTACTGCTCCTTCGACTGGCGGTACATGCGGACGGCGTCCGTGAAGGCGGGCACCTCCACCTTGGAATCCTCGGAGAGTCCTGGAAGGGGGACAGAGGCGGCAGGTTGGAAAACGTACTGATCCACTCGCCAAATTGTGCTGTGGGTGAACAGGCTCCCCCCACCCCCCGAGTCCTGGGATCGCGTGCCATTTCTATGGTTTGGCGTAGTTTCTCACCACTGACCATGCTGGCTGGGGCTGATGGGAGCTCCAGGACAAAACAGAAGAGTGGGGAAAGCTTTGCCCGGCCCTGTATTGGAGCCACATCCCTGGAAGGTGGATGCAACCAGCCATTTCACTAAAGAAGTCCCATGGTTTTCCAGGCTGGGTGGGGCTCCCTGCATATATTTCTCTGCCTGGCACCACAGCAAGGATGGGGGGGGGGGAGTATCTGGGAGGGGAGAGCAGAGCAGAGCAGCCCCCAAAGCTTCCTTGCCAAATGCGGACTTGGCTCCCCCTTCCACCAAAGCCAGAAGCACAATAGAGATGGATCTAAGGTAGCTCAAATCACCATCTAAAAAGACATTTACAAAGAGAGGGCGAAGCGTGCCTAAGTTTTTATTCTGCTTTTCCTCCAAAGAGCACAGTGTGACATCTTTGAATCTGTTCCCTCCAGTTTTATCCTCATAACAACCCTGCAAGGTAGGGTTAGGCTGAGAGAGAGCAGCGAGAGCTTCGGGGTCTAGTAGAGATTTGAGCTCAAGCTCCCCCAGGCCAAGGCTATGTACCAGGCAATGCAGTCCTCCCCAGATGTTGGGGGCCATAATTCCAACAATCCCTGACCCTGGACTATCCTCACTGGGACTTACAGGAGTTGGAGCCTAAACCATCTGGGGGAACACCTCTGAAGTGATGCTCTGAACAGCTGACAATGGTGAGTTTTGCACTGATACAAAAAGTTACAAAGATCTAGGGTAAGTGCAGAGGAGTCTGGTTTCAGCTACAGGGCTATTTGGGTTATTTTTTTCCACGGTGAGAGAGGAAGGCTTTCCTTTCAGCCAGGTGTGCAGCTTGGCTCGCTTGCACCAAGCCACTTGGAGCCGCGAGCTCGCCACACACTTTCCACTGCATGCTGGGGTCTCCTTGGCACGCGATGTGGACTGGCATCATGGCAAGTCCGCTTGCGGAGAGGCAGTGTGGAGGGTGCCCTCTCCTTCTGCAAGAGAATTTATGCTTCTAGCCCCTGCATTAGCTTGCAGGCATTAGAAGAGCACTACCAATCTGGAACCAGCCCTGCTTCGGAGGGTGGTGCGGAGCACGGAGCGGAAAAATGCAAGGCAGCTCAGGAAACCACGGCTAAATCCACAAAGGGAGATTTATGTCTGGAGGCACAAGCGGGGAGGAAGGGAAGTCTCAGAAAGGAAACTGCCACATTTTCACAGCGCTGGGAGGAGGGCCGGGCGGAGAGAAAGTGATGAAAAAGAATCTGACGGCTGGATGAATCACAGGCAGCATACGGTTCCCAAAACCCTAACAAGAGAGCTCCCCCCACGCCCCCCGGACAGAAGGACGGGGGTCCCTTATGCACTTTGGCTGACTCGGAGTTCTTCTGGGTGATCCATTAGAAAAGAACTGAAGCCTGGGGAATGGGGTGGGGGGGCATTTTCCCCAGCCCCTTTTGGGAAGCTTTTAGGATGGGGAGGGAAGCCCAGGGGTGGCCATTCCCAGCAAGGTTGCAGCAGCAAGATCTACATCGGTGGAGCAGCCCCCCTGGACTGGGGGACACAGGGCTGGAAATGTGAGCCAATCGCTCCCGTGTCATTTCAATGACCTTAACCAGCAGCCAGCGCTCAGAGAGCGGGGCTGGGGGGGGAGTCGCAGGAGAGGCAGGTGAAAAACACCGCAGAAGGTGCCACCACTGCATCAAACGGTTGTCGTCCTGCGAAACTCATCACCGGAAAGCGCTCCGAACTGAAGCAGTGGGGTGCTCCCCACTGAGTCAAAGGGGGACGCTCGATTCAGAAAGCGGATTTCTCTCATTCTGGGGGAGAGTCAAGGAAGGAAGCGGGATGCGACGGTGCGCTCAGGGCGCTGAGGATGGTCTGCCAGGCGGATCGCGGGATGCTGCCAGTTGCGTCCAAGCTCCATGCGCGCACGAAGTCAAAGGCGTCGTCTCCGTTGCCCGCAAGCCAGCCCCGCCTGTGCGGAGGTCTTAGGGCAGCGATGCTGCGTGGATGTGTGAGGAGGTGAGGCGGAGGGGCGGAGGAACTCGGGGAGCTCCCGATTTGGCAGAGACGGTGCAGGCGGCTAACCCTGCGGCAGCTCCAAAAATGGCCCGAACCTTTCCCAGCCCCGAGCAAGTGGCAGAATACACGCCGCTTGTCTGGAAAAGCTCCTGGATGGACCGCCGGGGTCGTCTTCCAGGCATCCCAAAGAGGAAACCTACCACACTTCACCTAATGTTTCAGTCATCCCTGCAGGGAGCAGAGCTGAAAGGGAAAAGGAAGCCAGCTCTGTGCAGAATCATGCAGCCATGGAGTTGGAAGGGACCCGTGAGGTCATCTAGTCTGCATGCACGCGCACACTGCTGGGGCGCTGGACACAGCGACGGCATCTCCGATAAGTGGTTATCCAGCTTTTGCTCGAGTGCATCCAACAAAGTAGAACTCAGCACCTTCCACGGTTGAACAGCTCTTACCATTAGGCCACACTTCCAACTCCGTGGCCAAAATCTACTTCCCTACAATTTCACCCACTGGTTCTAACCTTGAAGAAAATGCTGCTCCCATCTCACAAATGAACCACATCCAAGCACAGTATTTGCCAACTTCCACGCAAAACAAGGAAGAGAGGAAGAAAAGAAGCTACGTTAAGATTCTAGTCCTTATGGCCACAAAGGGAAAGGCGGGAAAATGTGGGCACTCCTGCAGTCCAGCTACAATGCCTTTGACTTCACTCATCTTTATCCTTCTCCTCTGTCCACCCTCAGCCACTTGTGACCACAAGATACTTGGAAGCTTTTGCAATCACACAGCTGACTTCACAGGCCTCAGTGAAGATGCTGACCTGTGGTTAGAACTTCGAAACGAGCCAGGCCCATCCTTGCGTGCCCATGAGTGTTTGACCAGGAAAAATGGATTCAAAGCTCTGCTTGCTGCAAAGTCCATTAGGAAAGGACCGGTAAAGTAGAATTTAAAAAATGCACCATTTCTTTGCTTATCTTGGCCTGCAAGACTGCCAGGAAAGCCCACACACACAGACCTCCATGGAGAAAAGGCCAACTCTGACCTCGGGACCTTGTGAAGCTTTGGACTACAACTCCCATTATTCCGGTGCATTGGCTGGGAGTGACTAGAGTTAGTCCAACAAACCTGGAGGATGCCAGGCTGAGGGAAGGCTGATGATGAGCATTAGTATTAAATAAAACCGATCGAAATAAATTTCTGCTCAGCCAAATCTTTGCCTTCCGCTTGGGGATTGTGTATACCAATGTTCTCCTTTTTCAGCTGACCAGCAACGTCGTCCAGACGCTTTTCCTGGGGGTCATTCTGCAGTGATTCATGGAAGGCAATGAGTAGCCCTTATTCATCCCATTACTAATAAAACTGTGGATTTTCTTACATTGTCTAATCGACTGAAGATGTTCTTTAGCTGCCCAGAGAATCTGATGGCTAATACGGAAGCATACAAACCAAATAAACATAGAAATGTAGAAACAGTGTGACTCTAGTCTGACCACCCTAAACAAACAAATACTCCTGAAATCCGCTTCAAACTCATTTAAGGATGCCGTTGTACATGCTTGTTTGTTGATTAAATAAACACCCAAGGCATTTGACAGAATCCTCTCCATTTTATCCTTACAACGATCCTGCAAAGCAGGTCAGGCCAGAAGCCGATCCCTGGCCCAAACGCACACCATGAGCTTTAAGGCTGAGCAAGAACGAGAGAGAGACCCAGTAAAGGGCTCTTAGCGCTGCACCAAACTCCACCCAACCACCAAATGGGGTTCAAATGGACCACATTTAAAACTGGTCTCGGGGAACTTCTGGGGGAAGGGGGAGGAGAGACTCTTCCGAACGGCGGGGGCCACATCTGATCAGAGCACCAAGAGCGTCTGGGATGGGCCTTTTCCACCTGCCTCTTCCAGTCAGGGATGAAGCAGCCAGCGAGGGAGGCGGCAGAGCCCTCCGTGCGGAGGAGCAAGTGAATTAACCTTGGTGAAGATGACGTCAGCCCCGCAGCACCATCGCAGAGGGCCCAGACCCCCAGGCAGCAGCCGAGGGAGAGGAGAACGGGGTGGATTTTGCGCGCACGGCAGACGGCTCTGCCCAGTGCGGGAACGTCCGAGGGGGCTTCTCCCCAAGGGAGGGACTGACGGGTGGACCTTCGCTCACGGGGCCGTTACGGCCCGCCCGCGGCCGCCGAGCATTCCTCGGGGCCCAGTGCCGGGAATCCGCCAAGGAACACGCGGGGGGGGGGGGGGTGCGGACCGCCACGCACGAACCAGCACACACGCTCTGCCAAGGCGGCCTCACCTTGGGCCGGGCAAACTTCCCAGCCTGCAGAGAGGGGCATGCTCGGGCCCTGCCGGAGCCTGCCGAGGGAGCGGAGGCAGCGAGGTGCTCGGGCAGGTCGCCATTTCCAACAGGGAAGCGGAGAAAGGGGAGACGGACGTTGCTAGGAGAGCCGTTGGCATGGAGCGGCCTTCCGGAAGGAGGCGCCAGGGGAAGCATCGCCCTCTCCCGAGGGAAGAGGCGGCCCACAGCTCAGGTGGCTTGCCAGGACTCCGGCACGTCGGCATGTGCTTCCGTGCAGACGCTCCGTCGCCTGTTCCTCACAGCTTCTCCAAGGGGCTCGAGGGGCGGCGTCACGAGGTTTGCTTTGCAGCCGGCCAGGGGGTGAAGGTCAGGCAGAACCAAGAGGCAGATGCCCCGGCTAAGCTCAGGAGCTTGGCAGCTGGGGAGACTTGAACTCGGGTCTCCAGGGGTCAAGTCTAATGCACTATCCATGACACCTGTCGCCTCCCCCTCAGACTCCAGCGCACGAGATTCCAGCTGGGTTAGACCAGAGGTCCTCTTTCTCCCTTCTCTCCCCTCAACTCTCTCTCTGGACATAAAAGAGAGTTGGGCTACTATACCACAGAAGAATCAGGCCTGGGACCAAGTGATGAATATCCCAGGTTTCCTTGCAATTTAAAACAGGAAGCAAGAGACTAGTCCCTAGGAGAGCAGAACTGTAAGCCCCAGAAACAGCAGTGTAACACTGGAGGAGGTTAATCGCAACGACATACCTGCAACTGCCCTGAATCAGAGGAAAGCTGGTGAGCTATATTGGGGGGGGAGACCCCCCCCCCCAGGCCAGACCTACCGTTGTTGCAGTGGCGTGCGCAGTCCTGGAAAATGGCCAGCCACTTCTCCTGCTCCTTCCCCGTCATCACACAGAAGTAGTAGTGCCGGGCGAAGGGGTGCCAGAGGATGAGGGGGAACTGGGTCGGGCATTTCAAGATGGGGGTGTTGCCCGATTTGGGAGCGGGGCCTGAAAAATATGAGAGAGAAAGGGATCTTGGAAGGTGGTTTAAAAGAATTCCAGATGTTGCCATGATGCATTGCATCTCCTCGAATCCAATCGTTCATCGTTTTAAAAAAGCCCGCCCAGCACAGTGCCACGCATGAAAGAAAGACGGTCACCCATGGGACAACGGATGCTCCCTGCGTGCGGAGAGGTGCAGATGGGTATGTGGTGCAAACTATGGGCTGGGTGCCCCCCCTTCCTCGTGCACGCAGACACCCCCCCACCCCTCCTCTTCAGGAAGCGATCGCTTTTGCTATGCCTTGCAAACTGGAATAGCCGGAAGCTAGTTTGCTTCGGAGCTGCCCCTTTCCCAATTTGGTCTGAGCACAAACCAAAACCCTACCAGATTTGAGCATCTGGGATGGATAGAATGGAAGCCCTTGTGGTCAAAATTGGCTAGCTTTAGCCACGATGGCTCAAACCCAGGCCATCATTTAACAACTGGTTCAACGCCCTCCCGCCCCTAGAGATCTGGAGGTCCTTCTGTGGGAGTCCTCCTTGGGAGAGATTAGCAGGTGGTTCCCCAGAGAAGGGTCTTCTCTGGGGTGGCCCCCCGATTGTGGAATACGCTCCCCAGAGAGGTTCACCTGGCGCAGATGCTTCTTTCTTTTCGGCACCAGGAGAAAACCTTTTTATTCTCCCGTTATTATAATGTTTAACTGGCTTTAATGCGTTTTGTACTGCATGATGTGCTATTTTAATTTCTATTTTTGTTGTTTGTTGTAAACTGACCTGAGACGCTAGTAGAGGGATGGTTTACAAAAGCTTTCAATCCATCATTCAATCAATCTCCAATCAAGGTGGGCTTTTTCAACAGAGAACTCGGATTTTTAAAAATCGGATAGGAGCTCAGCCAGTCTTGCAATGACCCAACCTGCTTGTAAAGACGCTCACCTTCTCTCCCTACACACTTTCCTCCTTGCCTCTCGGCCCAACTAAGCAGCCTTGGCCACTGCCTGGAGAGGTGCTCTTGTTACCTCAAGTGGGAACCCGTTGTACTTGGCCGGTTTCTCTCAGAACAAACGTCTTTTCAGTTTGCTGGAAAAGGACACCCTCCTCCTCCTCCACCCACCAACCGCATTCCTCTACTACAGTGTTTCACGAGTCAGCGACGCAACGGTTTGTCTCAAAACTCGGAGATTTGAGCTTTGTTTCTCCTTGTGAGCCCAAGAGAGCGCCGGTCCACCCCTCTACCCCCACGCCACAGGAGAGCGCAAAGGTGAGGTTGTATGTACTCCGTCTTTACCCCTTGCACCCACACTCGCCCTTCCCAGTCCCAAAACTAGCTCCCCGAAAAATGGGGCATTATTTCTAAAGGCTCGCTTTGGCTGCGGACACACCAAGGTGGGGAAAAATATTTAGGAAGCTATCGAAACACTTAATGGCTGCGGATCTGCTTTTGTGCTCGGAGGTACAGGGGCTGCCAAGCTTCACCTCTGCCTGGCAGCTGGGTTAAAGTCTCGCCGTGACAGAAACACTGGAAGGAATGCGCAGAGATGGCCCCTTGCCACAGAGGCCTCCATCTCCTGTCCATCCGTAAAGGCCCGTCTGAGCACAAAGGAGAGGGCCAGCATGAAGCGTGGTTCCCCCCACTGTCCTAACCCCCGGTCCTTCAGCTTCTGCTTGCAAGAGGAAGATGAAGCCATGTTATGGCATACTTCTGGCCGGCCCCAAAAGCCCACCTGTCCCGGCACTGAGCAAAACCCAGCGCGAAGGCCAGGAGAGAAGGAAGAACCCTCAGAGGTGGGCGGTTCAAACGCAGTTGGCCAACTCTCTGGAAAGAGGCACCAAGGATCCTCTCTCACGGGCCAGGGCTGGGGGACTCGAGGTTCTTCAGATCTTCTTGCGCTGCCATTCCCAACAGCCTTCACCACGGGGGAGAACTACATGTTCCCCATTCTGGCCATACCCCTTTGACCCCAGAGAAGAGCTGGAGGAGTCCAGGACTACAGGTTGAACTCACCTGGTAAGCTGCTGTTGACCAGTTCCAGGTACTCTTCCAGAGAGGTGAGCACCTTGTAGCCGGCACTGTTGATGAGGATTCGGGGTTGCAGCCCCCTCTCGAAGGCCTGCAGGAGCGGGACAGGAAGAGTCACGTGCGAGCCCTTCTCACAACCTCTTGTCAGCCCCTTCCATCCTTCTCACAAGCTCCCCCGATCACCACACCCATGTGCCTGCTTTTCCTCCAAGGAACCTTGGGTGGCTTCTTGGAGTCCACTGGTGGTGCCCCATCCATCCGTTCTCCCTCACAACATGGCCTTCGTCAAGACCACTGAGCAGCTCTCTCGCAAAGGAAGACTCCCACTACCCACTCCCTGCTCTTTTTGTAACTAGAAATGCCGAGGATCAAACCTGGGATTTTCTGGGCAGCCAGGGGATTGACTGGAATCAGCAAGGGTTAGCAAACCCACTGAGCAAGGGTTTCTGCTTTTCGGTTGCTGCTTTCCGTGTCTGGAAGACCACAGTCTGAGCAATGTTAAGCCAGGAATGGCCCACAGAGCAGTTTTCCAGCCAGCTTCCCTCCGGTAAGAGCCCCTTCCCAACTTGAAGAAAAAGAGTAACCACGTGCCCAGTGCTGAATATTAGCATATATAATGCAAAATAGTAATTCAGTTTCGGCACATCTAAAACATTCCAAGAATCGAACGTCACACTTTTTCCTTTTTTTAGGAGATGATACCAACCTCACTGGAAGAGCACTTTTGTCTACAAAACCAGGAACAGTCTTGTTTTAAACTCCACACTCACCTAGAACAGACATCCCCAAGCCTGATGTTCTCCAGAAGTTTTGGACAATATTCCTGACCACAGGCCATGTTGGCGGAGGTTGATGGGAGCTGCTCCAAAGGATCTGGAAGCCACCAAGTTAGGGAGGGCCGTTCCAGCGTGAATTGCGATATATTTTGATTGGCAAGAACTTTACAGTATCTCAGGCCGATACTAAACCTAAATCCTAAAGCTACTAAACCTGGTGTGCCCCACATGAGTGAGCTGTGGACTTTTCTGAGAAATCAGAAGAAACTCAAGAGACAGACGTTCCAGCTGGTCTACTCCTTCCCACATGCTAGTACAGGCTGCATTAGACCAGGTGATGCATTGGGGAATACAAACATCAGAGAATACAAGCTGTATGCAGGACGAGTGCCAGGTACCCTGTCCAGAAGTTTGCTCTGCAGAGCCGAGTGCAAGCACTGGTGAAGAGTGAGTCTCTCTCAAGCTGCTCTGAACAACTCAAGAGATCTCAGAGGGCACTTGAGTGCCCACTCTGAGATATCCCACAGGGCAGGCCTACACATCTACACACGGTGCTGCTCCTGTGCAGGGCGAAAGACTGGCCCTCACCAGCTTATTCTCGTACAGCACCAACCCATAATTATGGGGGACGATGCTGAAGCGGTTCCTCCACTTCTTGTTTTCTTCCAAGTACTGGAAGAGGTTCCCAGAGAAGATGGTTCGGTCCTCCAGCGGCACCTAGAGAAAAAAAGAAAAAGGCACGGTGAGCAATAGCTATTTATGACGGTCAGTGACCAGCCTGTCCTTAATAAACCATCTGCAAATAGCACCATAGCTCGATATATTCCAGCTATTAAAAGACAAAATAACAATCAACAAACGGCACAATGACAATCAACATGCAATTGTTTAAAATTACAAGTTACAATTTCTAATTGAAATGTTAAAACATTGCATACAATATCTTCGTGGATCTTGCAGGGAACGGCAAAAAACCGAGCACAACTAACTGTGAGCTGGGCACTGCTGCCTATAAGGAGCTTCCTGGCAAACTCAGCCACCTTCTAAACAGATGAGAAACAAACTTGGCCCATATTTCTTGATCAAACCGACAGTAAAAAAATAACACATTCAACTGTTTCACCCTCTCTGGCACCACAAGGGCAAGCCCCTCTCCACCCCTGGCATCTTACAGTACTTCCCCTCCAAGACTGCAGAGGGCAGTGCTGGGAAAGAAGGTGCAGCCCTGACGGGCTTTGGGGACAAGTATCATCTGAGAAGACACAATCAATCTCCCTTCACTTTCTGCACACGTGTGCCATTTCCAAGATGGCTCCATTGAGGCAACACCATACACAGAAACAGAGAGAGTCAGAAGGGACCTCCTGGGCCATCTAGTCTGACCCCAGGTCCAGCCAGCTCCACTTGTGACATGCCTGCCATGTGCATGTCCAGCCTAGCCTTGAACACCCTCAACGCTGGGACTTCAACCACCTCCCATGGAAGCCCTTCCATGCCCTTGGGGACCTAACCATCAGGAAGTACTTCCTGGCACCCACCTGAATCTTGGCTCCCTGAGCTTTGCTCCACTGGAACGCGTCCTGCCCTCCACTGCAGGGGGGAAAGGTCATGAGCCACCCCTGCGTGGCACCCCCTCACGTACCTGTATGTCACCAACAGGTCCCTTCTGAGTCACCTCCTCTCCAGGCTGAAAAGACCCAGCTCCCTCAGTCTCGCCTCATCCGCCATCCCCTGCAAACCAGCCACCATCCTAGTGGCCCTTCATTGCACCGATTCCAACCTGGCTATATCCCTCTTGTAATGAGGGGCCCAGAACTGAACACAGTATTCCAGCTGCAGGGGCACCAGAGCCATATAGAGTGGCAGTAATTCCTCTCTCTATCTGGAAGCCACGCTTCTGGCTATGCCTCCAAGGGTGGCGTTCACCCCCTTGACCACCGCATCACATGGCTGGCTCATGTTCAGCCTGCAGTCAACCGGCACCCCGAGGTCCCTTTCACAAGTGCTGCTCTCCAGCCTCTTGTCCCTTAACCTGTACTATGACACCCATTCCTATGCCCCAGTTGCAAGACCTTGCACTTATCCTCATCGAACGCCATCCTGTTGTCCCCAAGCAAAGACGGCGGTGGGCATGCACACCTGTTCTATTGTGGGAAACTAGCAGGTGAACTTGAAGCCCAAATTGGGTGAATCCCCTTCTCTCTCCCTCTCTTTCTTTCCCCCAACACCCTCTTTCTGTCTCCCTCTGCCCAGTGGGTAGCAATAAGAGAAACAGATCATTTCTGCCAGGAGTTCAGAGTGATCCCTTGCAGAGAGTTTCCGAAATGAAGGCCGTCGGTTGCTCACCCACATTTCAGAAACACCCTGATTTCCATCAGGGGTGGAACCTTAACTCAAGAAGCTCCCTCCACCCCAGTGACTGGAGCTCTGCCATCCACCAGCCTAATCCAAGCTAGTGCAACCTGCTACAAGAAACGGGCACCGACGAATCTGTAGAGAGACACATCATAAAAGTACACAAGGAGAAAAGTTTGTAAAAGGAGTACTTTCTCCTGACTTGTCTTCAGGCTAAATATGTTTACTCACTTGGAGGAAAGCACTCACAAAATTTAACGTTCTGAATATTTATGTTGTTTTAGGTTAGCCGAACATGAGTCAAAGATGAAATATGGGGACCCAGAGATGGGAACGATGAAGTAGGCTGGTCTACACACACCCAAACACACACACACACACACACCCCTAGGATCAGGTTCATTGTGAGTCATTCTGTTGGGCCCAGTGGATTTATGTCTCATTAAGTCACTCTTTGAACAGCTTGGGAAAGGAACACGCTATTCCCATCCAGTTTACAGATGTTCCCACCTGCTCCCGGCCACCAGGAAGTCGGCACAGATTAAGGGATAGGATCCCAGTCTGGACTGTCATGTGTTCTCAAGGTGCCATTTGCAGGACAGGATCCCAGAAAAATAAAGGTATTCCTCAACTTTGACATAAGGAGTGCTCAGTGTTGTAGGTAAGTCCCTTCCCTCTTGGTTCCAAAGCTCAAGTGACCCATAGAAATTGCGGGGCTTTTGTTGAGACCCCACAGAGCACAGAACCATCAGAGCTCTAAATAAGCCTGCTACCGAAGTTGGCAGGAAAAGCCTCTGCTCATGTACAGAGCTGTAGCCCTCCCACCCTCACGGAGCAGAAATGGTCTCTGTAAATGGGGGTGGTGCCATCACGGTTGGCCTCAAGCCCACCTGTCCAGAGGAGTGTTATTTCAGAGATTTTCAAGAGCGCTCTAATCAAGCTTCAAGAGCAGCTCAAATGTTTCTTCTGTGACACAATCACTCGATACGGAAGCCACAAGCCTAACCTACAGTCAGGGAGAAGCAGCAGTCTGCCTCACAGGGCTGTTGTGAAGATGCATATGACGTGCAGGGAGCATCTAAAGAATGCTGAGTGTTTATATAACCTTTTTATTTAAACAGTATTTTAAAAACTAGTATTTTAATGGTTTAACAGTCACTTTTGATTTATTTTTATTGATTATTGTATGTATTGCTTATTGATTGGTTTTATTAAGATTTGTATTACCTTATTGTTATATTGATATTTTTGTAAGCCGTCCTGAGGCTGTGGCAAAGGACAGTATATAAATGTCATCATGACCACCACCAACACCATCCTTTTTGCCCTTTCAAGGAACTCAAGGAGGCTTAATAATTCTCCTCTGCATCTGACCCTCACAACAACCCTGTGAGGTAGGCTGGGCTGAGAGTCGGAGACTGGCCCAAAGCCACCCTGTGAGCTCCATAGCCAAGTGGGGACAAGAACCCAGACCGTCTGAATCCCAGCCCAGCTTAATCACTGCACCACCCTGGCTTGCTACACCACATAATTTGCATGCCAGGAAGCATCCATAAATCCAGAGGCAAGGAGTTCCACCGGCTCCTATGTGGAGTGGTGGAATATAGAGTCCTAAACTACCTGGAACTAGGATAACCAAGAGAGCACACCTGATCCAGGGTGTGGAAACACTGCCCTGTGAGGAGGGACTGAGAGAACTGGGCATGTTCAGCCTTGAGAAGAGGAGACCGAGGGGGGACAGGAGATCCCTCTAGAAGTCCCTCAAAGGCAGTCACAAAGGGGAAGGTCAAGATCTCTCCTTGCTGGTGCCAGAGTGTAGGACACGGAAGAATCAGTTCAAGTTGCGGCAACCCAGGTTTGGACTTGATATCAGGAAAAATGTCCTCGCAGTCAGAGCAATGCGGCAGTGGGACCAGCTGCCTGGAGAGGTGGGGGGCTCTCCCACAAGGGAGACATTCAAGGCGAAACTGGGCACCCTCTGAGTGGGAAGGGCTGACGTGGTGTCCTGCAACAGCAGGGGTTGGACTAGATGCCCTTCATGGCCCCTTCCAACTCTACTCTTCTATGACTCTCCTTGGTTAGGGACTCTACTGGAAGTCAAGCTCCTGGTGGTTCCACGTGGTTCTAAGTCCGACTGAAGTCCATGTGGAGAACCGCCCAGGCTTTGGAGTGGCGACCCCCTTGCTGTGGAGCTCCCTGCCTCTGGAGACCAGGGAAGCACCACCAGGGTGTTGCTTCCAACACATCCTGAACGCATCTTGCTTCCACAAAGACTTTTCCGTTTGCTGGTTTGACTGGTCCTGTCTTAATTCACCGTTCTGCTCTTTCGGTTACTGTCTGCCACCCGAGATTCTGTTCAGACGTGGAGAAGTATACACATTCGGTGAACGGAGTTTTGTTTTTCATGTTGTTCCTGTTGCTAAGGCAGGCTTTAAGCAATTCTGGGAGTCCCACGGTCAAGTTCTCCTCATGAGTCACTTCCTTAGTAAGTCTGGGTGAGCAAACCCACACAAGCCAGGCACACAAGCATACACAAACGCTTCTTGTAGAAACCCGACGCACAAATGCTGAAGCACAGCCAAAAAAGGGAAAGATGTTTACAATAGAAAGGGAGAAGGGTAACAGACCAACAAAATGGGGAGGGGGTGATTAGCCTTCCCATACACCTTATCCAAACTGGTGTCCTTCAGCTGGTTCTTACTCCAGCTCTGACCAACCAACTGGTTCAGCTGGTTCTTACTCCGGCTAGCCAACAGCGCCAATGGTCGAGGAATGCTGGGAGGTAAGGCTAAAAATTTTGCAGGGTGCCATGTTGGAACCCCGAAGTTTCTTCTATGGCAGAGGTTGTCTCATATCCCAGCTGCCACAGACGGGAGGTGTAGAAACCTTTTCCTGTTAGGAGGTTTGGGGAATCAGCTCCCCATCACGTCAAAACTGGAGGTCGAGGCTGAAGCGAGAGGATGGGCAGAGAAAGGTGACTCCCTGAACACAGAAGGCGAGCATGCAAGGGAGACCCTTTCCCCTAAAGCACGAGCTTTCTGAAGGCATCCCATCAGGTTGGCACTCCTATCCCATCATGCTGAAAGACCGCCTTCATCACTGTGGTGTGATCCAGGCGCTCGAGATCTCCTGCAGAGACTCTGCTTGTGTGCAAAGCAGGAAAAACAGTTGGGGGGCTGAGCCCAACGGACAAAGCTTTCCTGGGGTGATCCCAACAATTTTGGGACAGAGTGTGCCCTGAGAATCTCCGCAGTGCTTCAAGAAGGCCTCGAAAAGACTCTCTCTGCTGTAGCTGGTGAAGGGCAGCTTTCTTAGGAAGGGCGTCTCTCTCCCCGGCCCCGAGATGCAGCGTACACGTAAAC